ACCAAAAGAACAGGAGGCAAAAATCCCAACTATCCCAATTTGTTTAAAAAAACAGGGACCAATAACTTCATAAAAAAATATAAATGATTAAAAAACATTAATATTAAAATACAAACAAAAACGCTGTTTGCAATTTCAAATTAAACTAAAAAAAATGCGCGAGGACGCAAGATGGGCGTGTAACCTGAAACAAAAAAACAAAGAAATGTAGTTTAAAAAAATGATTAAAAAAAGAAGAAAGGATTTGATATTAAAATTTTAAAAAAATTGTTCAACAGAAATCTGTGATAGTCGAAAATTAGAGCAGTCTATAGAGCAACAGTCACTGTTCAATAAAGGCCCACTTACCGTATGTAGTGTTTAATTAAGAGGTGTACACTACCCCTCATCATTTTTATCCTTTCTAACTTTTACATCTATTTGAAATATGTAAACTTGTTTTTAATGATCAGTTCAGGACAGAATTGGCTAGATCTAAAATAGAACAAACTTCACTTATTTTGGGAATTAAAATTTACGACCATTTACCTCATAATATAAGAAGCTGGCTTACATAGAATAAATTTAAAAATAAATTGTACCTATATAAGCTGATTCAAATTCGAGGGCCACCATGGGGAGCTCGGGAACTGTAAGAGATAGGTAGGTAGCTTAAATTTGGCAAAGTTGCGCATTTTAATGATTAACAAAATTCCGTTTTGAAACCGATAAAATTCCGACGACTTTCGGAGATATCCAGAAAAAAACGAAATTTTGCAAAATCGTTTTTATTTTTTACCGAAGTTATTTAAAAACATATTTCGAAATAAATGATACATTATTATGGCCACTTTTGTCTCTCTACAAGATGCTGCTTTTAAATTTTAAGTTTGACGTTTCGTCTCCAGTCAGCCATCATCAACTTTGTTTTTTCTTATGGAAGCAATTATTACTTTTTGTGTGATTTGATAGAGAACTATTTTATGATTTTAAAAATGTAAACATCACTATCTTTTAATAAGAAATAGCGCTATTAATTCGTAAAAACGCAAGAAACGACGTACACTATCCGAGACAAAATTTTCTTGGCAAAAAAGAAGATTAACAATATTAAAAAAATTATGATGTTTATATGTTTGAAACGAGAAAAAAATTCTCTATCAAAACAGAAAAAGTAAAAATTACTTCCATAAGAAAAAACAAAGTCGCTGATGGTTAACCGGGGATGAAACGTAGGATTAAAAATTTAAAACTAGCATCTTGTAGAGAGGAAAAGGTGGCCATAATGCGGTATGCCCCAATATTTAAGTGTTTACCTGCCTGATATACTGACTTGTTCCATATGGTTCAATTGCATTAGATTAGTGTATGCAATTATGGGGATCCCCCCCTCTTTTCAAATTAATAATTTATTTTTTTAATTACAAGTGGAGGGGAACTATTTGAACACCTCATATACTATCCTTCTTTGATTTGAAGATGTAGTTAAATCAAATTACTAGAAATTAAGTAACAATTAACTAATGCAAGGATGGCGAATGAAAATGCGGTCAAAAAGGAATTTTTTGTATGCATCGCGATTTTCCCAAAGCCTTGGGGTAACTAAAACAATTGGGGCCAGAAAAGTACCACGAAAGATCGGTGTAGCATGATCTTTGGTACCACTTCAAAAATTGTATATTTAAAAGTAGGTACCCACTTTAATTAAACAACCGCGCTCCCACTCCCGACAGTATAATATTAGCGTAGTTGGTGTGCTGTTGTTGTTTGTGTAAAGATGGGATTCCTTCGAAAAGTGTTCTTGCTTCTATTCACGACCTTCATCGTTTACTTGGGTATTAAAATTCACTCATCGCTCCAACTGCCGCCTCTACCCAATTTTGATAACGAATATTGGGGCCGCGGTAAGCCAACAAAAGATGATATCGCGGTCAGACCGTTCAAGATCAATGTCCCTGACCAGGTAACTAAATTGTTAACTTTTTTCCAACACTGCATATAATTTTTCCGAGACCTTTGGAATGTTTCAAGGGTCATTCGGATAGGTAGTCCTCATCGAGTTTTGATATCATGCTGACTGAATTCATTTCTCACCGTGAGAAACGGGAACTCGGTTCGCGTGTCCTTCGGCGTGCGTATAGCTATAGTAATAATCTCAGTAATTGAGTAATCATACATTTACAATTGTTGCTATATAAAAATATGCTGCTGATAATTCTATTAATAAATAAAAACCGCCGGGCGCCGGGCAGTGGTTTTCCATTTTATGCCCTCAATATTCCATGAAGAAAAATGTTGAAAAGTCAAATCACCATTAAGATTTTACTGATCAACGTCGGGGGATCTAGAAGAATTTTTTTATCCTTTCCGATTTATTTAAAAAAATTACTAAATACCCCACGTTGACCCACCCCTAAACTAAAATAGAACAAAAATTCTGACCCCCCCCCCCTCAAGATTCGGTATCGGGAGAATTTTGAAAATGGAATTGAATATGACCGTAGCCTTTGAGAATTAATACTAAATTGAACTGTGTTTTTGATTCCCCCCCAATGTGCAGGAGTTTTAGAAACATTTAGGTATTTTCATACACACGTTGAATCAGGAAGCACGTTAATTAAACGATGTTATTCCAAACATTTAAAAAAAACTCAAAGAGGTATATTATTGGAAAATATTTTCCCGTATTTTCCACAAACATTTTGGACCATTAGTTTATTTGGGAAAAATGTTTGTTTGTGTGTTCCATGTGTATAATTTAAAGCATAAAAAATTAAATAAATATTTGTCTGGGGGGGGGTCGGCAACCAATTATTTAGGAAGTTCTCCGTTTAGTGGGGCCTAAATTTTGGAAAAACCTGGCCCCACTGAATTTAATGTTACGGTAGAAGGGGTTCTCCTCCTTATTTGCGTGGGGGGCTCCATATCCCAAAATACGCCCATCTGAGTCTGACCCTATGTTAGATTTTTGAAATATATGATGTCCACCCAGCAAAAATAGTTGGTTACAGATTAATCAAAAACTTGGTGTCTACTATATTTAGGACAGCAATTTGGGAATGGGCTTTATATAACAGTAAAAAGTAATAATATAACACCCACCGAAATTATTTCTCTTATTCTTTCAGGTATTAGAAGTTCTGCAACAGAAGCTAAATCAACCCCGATCGTTAACGCCCCCACTCGAAGGAATTCAACAGCAATATGGCATGAACACCAACCTGTTGAAGGAAATCATTGAATTTTGGAAAACCAAGTACAACTGGCGCGAACGAGAAAAGTTTCTGAATCAATACCCCCAATTCCAAACAACAATACAAGGTTTAAACATACACTTCCTTCACATCAAACCAACAAAAAGCAGTGGAAAAGATGTGGTGCCTTTACTAATGCTGCACGGTTGGCCAGGATCGATACGCGAATTCTATGAAGTGATCCCCCTGCTAACCGCACCTCAGGCCGACAGAGATTTTGTTTTCGAAATCATCGTCCCATCACTTCCCGGGTATGGTTTCTCAGAGGCGGCCTCCAAACCGGGTTTGGCAGCGCCACAAATAGCAGCCGTCTTCAAAAAGTTGATGGAGCGTTTAGGATTCAAAAAGTTTTACATTCAAGGAGGCGACTGGGGTGCAATCATCGCGTCTCATTTTGCAACCCTTTACCCAGAAAGCCTTCTGGGTTTACACTCTAACATGTGCGGTGCGCAGACGCCTATGTCTTTCCTTAAGACTATCGTCGGCAGCGTTTATCCCTCCTTTGTTGTTGAAGATAAATTTAAAGACAAAATGTATCCATTATCAAATGTATTCTCAAATTTACTGCTAGAATCGGGATATTTCCATTTGCAAACTACCAAGCCAGATACAATCGGTAAGCTTAGCAACAAATTATTGGTAGACTTACAAGTTGGTTTTAGGTGTAGCATTAGGAGACTCGCCAGTTGGTTTAGCCGCGTACATTCTGGAGAAGTTCACAACCTGGACTAACCCAGACTGGAAAAATCGAGAAGACGGAGGTTTAAAAATAAAATACACCTATACCAACCTCTTAGATAACGTTATGATCTATTGGGTCACGGGTAGTATAACCACATCGATGAGACTGTACGCGGAAGAAATGTCAAAAACGAATAGGGAATTACAATTAGAGAGGTAAGCCATTGTATTAATCTAAGACAGAATTGTACGAGGTTTCGTTTCAGTTACCTCATAGTGGTACCTAGCGCATGCGCCAGATTTCCCTACGAAATTATGTATCAGTCGGACTGCATTTTGAAGGACAAATATACGGTACTAGTCCAAACGAGCGATTTTCCAACTGGTGGTCATTTCGCCGCGTTTGAAGAGCCAAAAGTGTTTTCGGAAGATGTTTGGTTAGCTGTGCAAAAGTTCAGAGACCTCCTAAAGAAAAAGTAATTGCAGATATTTAAATATCGTTTTCAGTTTTTGAATTTTAATACTGTGTTATCTGTTTTTGTTACATTAATCGTTGTTATGCAGATGTTTTCGTATAATTTGTACCTATGTTTAATAATAAACAGAATTTTTATTAATGGTTCATTAAGTTTTTATGAATTTTTATTACTCTCGCTGTGTACTTCATCTGACATGAGCTAAGACACATGAATGTACCTATAGATATTTTTTTTAATTAAATAGAGATTAAAATGATTTTAAATGCTAATACGGTTTGAAATTTATAATGTAACTTTTTAATGAGGGAAACTATTTGAACTCCTTCACTCATACACCATCCTCCCAGAAAACTGCTTCGATCTAAAGATATAGTTAAATCTATAAAATTGCTAGGAATTAAATAACAACTAATAAGGATAGCATAATGAAAATGCGTTCAAAAGAAATTTTTTTGCACAGGCGTCTACTACGTAACTAAAAAATTAGGGCCAGGAAAGTACCACCAAAGATCAGTGTAGCATGATCTTTGGTACCACTTATTCCAAAATACGAAAATTGTAGGTATATTTAAGTAGGTACACACTTTAATTAAACAACCGCGCTCCCACTCCCGACAGTATTAATATTGGCGTAGATATACCTAGTTGGTGTGCTGATGTTGTTTGTGTAAAGATGGGATTCTTCCGAAAAGTGTTCTTACTTTTATCCACGACCTTTATTGTTTACTTGGGAATTAAAATTCACTCATCGCTCCAACTGCCGCCTCTACCCAATTTTGATAACGAATATTGGGGCCGCGGTAAGCCAACAAAAGATGATATAGCGGTCAGACCGTTCAAGATCAATGTTCCTGATAAGGTAATTAAATTGTTACTTTTCCAACACTGCATATAATTTTCCAAGACCTTTGGAATGTTTCAAGGGTCATTCAGATAAGTTAGTACTTATCGAGTTTGTTATCACACTGACCGGGTTCATTTCTCACAGTGACGAATAGGAATTCGGTTCGCGTGTCCGTCGGCATGCATGTTGTAATCTCACTAATTGATGATAATCACTTATCATTAATTTACAATCGTTTCTAATTCTGTCTATAAAATATGCAGTGATAATTCTATTAATAAATCAAAACCGCCGGGTAGTGGGCACATTCCATGAAGAAGTAGTCTGAGGGTCTTGGCATATGGAGCAAAATTTTGAACAATAAGATTTTATTGACCAATGTGGAAAAATACTAAGAGGCTGCCTATGAACACCAGTTAAGAAATTACATAAAATTGAACAATGTTTTTCATTTTGTAAACAATCAATCAAACAAATATATAAGTATTGAAAAAAACCATGAATTGTACCAACTCTCTTGTCGAAGTCATAATCTTTTACCCCCCCCCCCCCCCCCCCCATGCGTAGAAACATTTTATAGATTCGTAAAGGCAGTAGGCTTATTGGAAAACCTGTAGATAAAATAAACCTTTTTTTTTTCAAATAAACCAGAGGTTTAAAATATATCGTTTCAGAGCTACTAAAATATCGAATTGGTATTTCATTTGAGAAAAATTGGAAAGAAATTATTTTTCCTAAAATGCTCTTTGTAGGCACACATTCATACTGACCTGACAGTTATTATACTGTCTTTGAGTTTTGATACACCCTTTAATTATTTCAGGTATTAGAAGTTTTGCAACAGAAGCTAAATCAACCCCGATCGTTAACGCCCCCACTCGAAGGAATTCAACAGCAATATGGCATGAACACCAACCTGTTGAAGGAAATCATAGAATTTTGGAAAACCAAGTACAACTGGCGCGAACGAGAAACGTTTCTGAATCAATACCCCCAATTCCAAACAACAATACAAGGTTTAAACATACACTTCCTTCATATCAAACCAACAAAAAGCAGTGGAAAAGATGTGGTGCCTTTACTCATGCTACACGGTTGGCCAGGATCGATACGCGAATTCTACGAAGTGATCCCTCTGCTAACCGCACCTCAGGTCGACAGAGATTTCGTTTTCGAAATCATCGTCCCATCACTTCCCGGGTATGGTTTCTCTGAGGCGGCCTCCAAACCGGGTTTGGGAGCGCCACAAATGGCAGCGGTCTTCAAAAAGTTGATGGAGCGTTTGGGTTTCAAAAAGTTTTACATTCAAGGAGGCGACTGGGGTGCGATCATCACGTCGCATTTGGCAACCCTTTACCCAGAAAGCCTTCTGGGTTTGCACTCTAACATGTGCGCGGCACAGACGCCTATGACTTTCCTTAAAACTCTCATCGGCAGCGTTTATCCCTCCTTTGTTGTTGAAGATAAGTTTAAAGACAAAATGTATCCATTATCAAATGTATTCTCATATTTACTGCTGGAATCGGGATATTTGCATTTGCAAGCTACCAAGCCGGATACACTGGGTAGATTTAGCAACAAATTGTTGGTAGTCTTACAAGTTTGTTTTAGGTGTAGCATTGGGAGACTCGCCAGTTGGTTTAGCCGCGTACATTCTGGAGAAGTTCACAACCTGGACTAACCCAGACTGGAAAAATCGAGAAGACGGAGGTTTAAAACTAAAGTACACCTACACCAACCTCTTAGATAACGTTATGATCTATTGGGTCACGGGTAGTATAACCACATCGATGAGACTGTACGCGGAAGAATTGTCAAAAACGAATAGGGAATTACAATTAGAGAGGTAAGCCATTGTAATAATAAGATATAATTGTACGAACTTTCGTTTCAGTTACCCCATAGTGGTACCTAGCGCATGCGCCAGATTTCCCTACGAACTTAGGTATCAGTCAGACTACATTTTGAAGGATAAATATACGGTACTAGTCCAAACGAGCGATTTTCCAACTGGTGGTCATTTCGCCGCGTTTGAACAGCCAAAAGTGTTTTCGGATGATGTGTGGTCTGCTGTGCAAAAGTTCAGAGACCTCGTAAAGAAAAAGTAATTGCAGATAAATATCGTTTTCAGTTTTTGAATTTTGTTACTGTGTTAATCTCTTTTTGTTACATTAATATTTTGTTATGCACATGTTTATTTCCTATAATTTGTAGGTTTAATAAATAGAACTTTTAAAAATGGTGTAATGGGTTTTTATGAATTTGTAAATGATTGATTAATTGATTTTCTTTGTCCCGTTTGGAGTAAAATATATACATAAGAATTATGATATGGATGTATAGATACCGTTAACAAGTAACAAACTTGGAAGAAAAAACTATTACCTAACATGCAACATTGAATAAACTCGATCTATGGATAATAAATAGTATCTGCGACCCATGATTCCTTTCGCAGGGAGCCTCGCATTGTGCTTTATCTGATAATATTCATGAGTGAATGTAGACAATTTTTTTAAAATTAATTCGAAATTAAAATGGATTTAAATGCAAATTGTCACCTGAAGTATTTCATGCAACGAAATCATGAACTCGAATATAAATGAGGACACCTAAACAATCCTCTCCAACTCTCGGAGGTGCACTTGATCAAAGGATGACATGGGGCCCCTCGACGCCATTGATTAGTCGGCTTTTACGACATGCAGTGCCACTGCAGTAGCGAAATTCTACTACCCGTCGCTACACAGGTATGCAAATGCAAGAATACGTCTAAAAAAAGAAGGTAACCTTGTGTACAAGGGAGAAAGAAAAAATTGCACTCTAATTACCTGTTCAGATCAACAATACTCTCATTATGTGGGCAACGAAGCTTTTCATTCTTTTGGCTCAAAGCAATCGAAAGATTTGCATAGCGACTTTCTATAAACAATTTGAAATTTCGACTGTAGACTGGCATAATGTTGCCTTGCCATTAGGTGAGTATGGAATCGGCTAAGAGAAGGGCTGTAACATTGGAGCTGTTCAACGTATATACTCGATTAAATACAATATGGACTTATAGCCACCTGGGAGGAGCGAATGATGGTGATCCTTAAATACTGGAGACGAGTAAACAAGGCAGCATTCCATTAAATTACGAATAGTCAACCCTATTTGTTTTGTTGAAGTCACCCAGTTCGTTATTTGTTATAATAAATCTGTGGAGAAGCAAATTAACCCAAGTTGCGTGAGAAGTTTAACGCGCGTGTTGTCCGATTACGGAAAAAGGTTTTATTAAGTTGAAAAAGGAAGCAGTGTAGTACTGCAACTGCGAGAGGTTCTCTTCTCATTAAAAGTTAATAGTTTCTACTGTCCGACAGCTGCCGAAAAGTTGTTCATCTTATTCACCAAACCGGTTTTGTTTCTCATCTAATTCTGTGTTATTATAAAGCAAACGCTTCAGCGTTTGGTTCGCCTAGTATCGCAAATTTTGTACGACCACATTATTATTTGGATTATTATGAAACAAAACTGTAATTTTAAGATACTACCGTCATGGAAAACAACGCTACATACCAATGACGTTGACAGTGAATCGTTTAACCCAAATTGAAAGCAACTTTCACACATTAGTAATTTAGAAATTTTGTTTGTGTGCAATGATTTTCAAAACTGTATCTGTTCATTAACAGCAATCGTTAGTAAATTACAAATCATGATATCTTCTAAATATTTTAGCAAAACCCATTAAAATGTTATACACCACGATGAAATCGACGAATAATAATAATAATAATATATATTAATTCCCAAGACAAATTTTGAATTGTATAGGATACCAGACACAAAAAAATACAATTAAATACAATTTAAAAAATGTTGGTCATACACAATATAATGGACAAAAATGAAAGAATGCAATATAAATTACACTAGAGATCCGCAATTTTTATCAATACAATTTAGAAATTCATCAATTGTATATGGTGCATTGACTAGAAGAAATTTTTTTAAAGAAGTTTTAAAGCACTGACTTCTAAGTGTACTTGGAAGAGCATTAAATAATTTAATGCCCATTGACGTGGGAGAATTATGGGCAAGTTTAAGCCTTGTTAAAGGGGTGATAAATTGTTGTTTATTGCGCGTGTTGTAATTGTGAAAATTGCTATGGCGTAAGAAATGTTGCTGATTATGGAAAATAAAAGTTAACAATTCAAGTATATAGAGTGATGAAAGTGTAAGAATATTCAATTTTTTAAATATCGGGCGACCCGAATCAAATTTCTTACTACCCGCAATACACCGGACTATTCGTTTTTGTACCAAAAAAACATTTTTTGCCGCGCTTGACGAGCCCCAAACAATTATTCCATACGACAATCTGGATTGAATTTGAGCATAGTAATAATTTAAAGTATGGTTCGCATCCATTAATTCTTTAAGATTCCGTATCTGGTAGCAATAAGTGTTTAGTCTTTTAATAAGATTTTCGCAGTGACATTTCCAATTTAAGTTTTGATCTAAATAGATCCCCAGAAACTTCCCAGTGCCTAGAATATTAATGTTTTTGTTGCTTGAGTCAGACAAATGGTTATTTCCAAAAGTTGTAAACGGTAGGAAAAATGTTTTATCGTGATTTAAGAATAATTTGTTAAAATTAAACCAATTACTTAGCTTATTTAGAATCTCAACAGCTTTTGGATATATATTTTCTTGCTTCTTTCCGGATATTAATGCCGTCGTATCATCCGCATATAAAACCAAGCAATTTAAGAACATGACAATATCATTAATAAATAATAAAAATAAAATAGGTCCTAAAACAGAACCTTATGAAACCCCCATATTAACAGGCAAAGCTGTGGATAAAAATTTTGCAATAGTGGAACCGGTTTTAAATTTAATTTCTACTTGTTGACACCTTCCAGAGAGATATGATGAAAACCAATTGGCAACAACGCCTCTGATACCGTAAGTATTTAATTTTTCCAACAGTAACAAGTGATCAACAGTATCAAAAGCCCTGCTGAGGTCACAAAATATAGCAAGGACATTCTGTTTTTTATCAAGAAGTGAAATGATGTCGTTAACAAAGGAGTTAATGGCAGTAATTGTCGATTTCCCATTGCAGAACCCGTGTTGTTTATTACTTACAATGTTATATTTAACAAGGTGACTATTTAGCCTCTCTAATTCAAAGACTTTTGACAGCGTCAAGCTAACAGAAATTGGTCTGTAATTCGAGTAATCTCGAGAGCAACCTTTTTTGTGAACGAGATGTACGGTTGACAGCTTAAGTTCTTTCGGGAAGACACCGTTTGAAAAAGACATATTGACTAAATGTGTGACAGGTTTTATTATAATAATACAAACTTGACCTTAGCAAAGAATTAGGTATACCATCGGGGCGTGAGGAATGTTTATTTTTTATGCTTTTTTTTAAACAATTTAATAATTTCGTTTCATTAAATGGCAGTGCACACATACTTTCGCGAATAGTCATACTAAATAAGGCTCCATACTGTTTTATGTTTATTGTCGGAGGATTTGATTAAGTTACCATAAAACGATTTCTTACAATTCATAATGTATTGCCGGTATTTACATTTGTGTGTTAAATAAAGTTTTTTAAGCACGGGATACATTTTTTGGAGGTGGTAAAAGTTTTTAAGATCTTGGCTAAGCTTTCTAACGGTGCTGTTTACCCATCCTTTTTTCACATATGAGGTATTACGTTTTAAAATTTTGGTCTCTGGGAACGATGAATTGAAATGGGAGACAAAAGTATTGTAAAATACAGTAAACGCATCATCGAATGTAGTAGCAGAATTTAAAGTTAACCAGTTCTGATTCTCCAATAACTCATGAAAACGAGAGATAGAAGCTGGCGTAAATTTTCTACCCGTGGTAAACGTAAGATTACTGTAACAGGCTAGTGGCAAATTACTATTAAGTACAACGTATTTATGATCAGAGAACAAGAGAGGTAATACATCGCAGGTTACGTCAGTAGCTTTGTGTAGACAAATATTGTCTAAAATTGCATTCTCTCGAGTGGGAATTTTTACTACCGCAGTCATATTATAAGATTCCATAAGACTATTTAATTGCTTAGCAAATTTTGTGCCCGTTTCAAAATGCACATTAAAATCCCCAGCAAGTATGTATCTATAATTACATTTGTATATCATAACAAATAGTGCACATAAATTCTCCATAAACAAATCAAAATCACCAGAAGGTGGTCGATAACATACAATAATAACAGATTTGGGGTTTGTTAGCCAAACTAGCCCACACAACTCTATGTGCATTTCGACACAAAATTTACTAATGTCAAAATCAAGTGGCAATACATTTAAATCTTTTCGATAATAAATAGCTGTACCGCCGCGTATATGTGAACTTCCACAAAAATAAAAAACTAAACTACAATTACAAACACTAAAAGTTTCAATAGACTCCACATTTCACCACGTTTCAGTGAAACACAAAAAGTTAATTGTCTTGTTACAGAAGTCCACCTCAAATTGCGCTGGAATTACCGCGCTTGGAATAGAAACATAAAAGATGGCGAGATTAGGAAAAATGGTTAAATGTAAATGATCTATCCGGTGGCATTATTCACAATTTGTATGATGAAAACTGTATTTTCCAAAAACGACAAGAGTACAATGAGGTCGCATTCTAAACAATAACTTCAATCTCAAGCGCCCATTTTTTGTGGGAAGCAGGGCTACAGACTTGATGCCTCGTGAATAGACAAGTAAGTTAGTCTGTGCCATACATTTAAAAATGGCAAATCATTTTATTTTTGTAATATACAGCAGATCCCAGGAGGAACTGAACAAAATAGCACCCCTAAATGTATACCCCCCCCCCCCGCCCCGACATTGTATTCTTCCTATGGGGCTGTTACACACTACACTAACACTGCACAGATGCTGTAAATTGACAAGGAAGGAAGAGATAACACATAGTAACAGTAACAGTTCTGGCATTACTCCCAATAATTAAACTAAATTATGTAAACCCTGTAAACTTTAAAACAGTCTTTATTTTTCATCATCTAAAGTGCTAGAATAGGTATACGAATGAACTGTATTCTTACAATCTGTGCGGATACTTTTACAAATAGATATTAAATGGTAACTAAATAATCTCTACAAAAATACATTTTTATCACTCCAAATAGAGTGGGTACATTAACACTAGGTACATATATACATAGTACTATGAAGGCCTATACACGAGCATAATAATTGGTATGAAACAGTGATAGTAGAATTGTTATAGTTTTAATAAAAGTAATTGCCAATGGGTGATTGACGTATCTACTATATAAAAATGATCAAACCTTGATTTTGAAATTCTAGTATCATTATTTCTTACTTCTAATTCATGTCGTACATGGAAATAACATCTAACATAACAGTCAAAAAATGAAAAATACGTAACAGTCAGTAACAATAGATACACATTTAAAAAAACTACAAGAAAATATCACTCATTTATTGAATGGAAACACAGCTTGGACTTTTAGGAACACCATTAAAGTGATAATAATAAGACGGAATGTTTACAGATAAAAAGGCTTTTCTCTCCATAGAATCAAATAATTGCTACTAATCCTGCCGATATCGGTTTATTTCTTGTTAACGCCATTCTAATTTTGTAAAATACGCACCCTCTCCCACATAACAAGGGCACCTGCAATTTAAACGTTTGGAATCAAATATAAAAGCTAAACACACAGCACAGAAAACACCTAAATGTCCAAACTGCTGCTAAGTACGTAAATACATAGGAGGTCTCGAAACCGGCCGTGCCAACAATGCCCGGTTATACAGAAAAGTCCAACCAAGTAGAAGCTAATCACTCACACAATGCAACTGATCTATTTACATAATATACAGTATGTTACAACGGAATTAAGCAATTAAGGATTTTCGTGCAGGATGAAAAAACAAAAGCGATAGCACCATGAGGATGAATTTGGAGATGTGCATACAGCATACTTTACTCATCAAACATGCAGAAATATGCAGTGTGTAACAATTAAATATGTGAACAAAATTTTCCAAAAAAATCCCAAAATTTTCGTTTATTTTTCTCAGTAAACGGCAGCTTTGACTAGGTTTTTGGACTTGCCCTTTCAGATGTTTACGATTCCTAAATACCCTAAATCTAAATTTGCTATCTGGGAATTTTTGGATATGCGAATGAATCTCAATTTTTTTTTTTAAATTGCATAATTTTCCAAAATTCATATCCCACGTCGGGAAAAAAATTTAGTTTCTGGGGATTTTTGAACATGCTAGTAGATACTTAAGTTTCAAAAATTGGGAGGGTATTGGAATTTTGTCAAATCCAAAAGACCATACACAAAAACCTAAGCAAGACCGCTAGATCTCTCGTTTATTTGGATCAAACTGCTTGTTTTGACCCTCTCTACCGTTATATTTTTTGCACCATATTAACAAAACACCAGAAATTAACGGTAACGGAGGCAAACGGCGTAAACGTAAAATTGTAGATTTTTAAATTCCAAAAGCGTACTTGCATTGTTAATTTTGATTTTTTCAAACCCGCCAGATGGCGAGTTAGGACGGCGTTGTGTCGTATGGAATGAAAGCGTATAAAAATCCGCAGTATCACATCAAATGAAGTGGTGAAGCAAAATGTAACTCAGTTTGATAAAAGCTTTAACTATACATTAAAGAAAGAATTAAGTGCACAGTCACCAAGTGCGGTATGTGCGAACAAAAACAGAAGCATAAAGGCATCTCAAAGGTACATATGTCATCTGTAGCGCTGTTGATTAATGAAAACAGAAACATATGCTGTTCAAAAGTAACTTCAGTTTCTCTTCACCAATCACAAACAGACACAAAGGCTGCGATCTTTTGCAAAACTAAGGAAATTCGATTAATTGCCACCGCGCCTATTTATAATGTCGAATAAAACTTGGGAATCGCTAAGCTCCGATTCGTTATCACTACTTATATCTACCAGTTCTGTGGAGTTGTTTATTAAAGATTCAGATACCTCAAATTTATCCTCTTCCAATCCTTGCAGTCGTAAGGAACTTATATGTTGCACTGTCCGTACTTTGTGTATCACATGACCTACGATTCCTAATAAGCAAAGGAGTAAACCGATCGCGTTTATTGCTGAAATATGATCGCCGTTTACGACAACCGCAAGTGTCAACAGTAATAATTCCTGAAACAGAAATTTTGGCAAGAGGAAAATTTAGCGATCCCCTCTTACCTTGAATATGCCCGCAATGGCTAATGTTAAACTAGATGTGTGTGAGATCACCATTACTTCGGCACATTCCATAAGGAAGGCTATTACAGCGCCGAGCAGGATTTTGAAACACAAATCGAGCGAGGCTATATAATCGGCGTTTCGGAACAGTTGGCAGTTTGTAATTAAAGAGATGCCTGAAAGTTGAGAATTTAGGGCTCCATCTTCAGAACAGAGAGATAATTGATTTACGCATGCGCAGTAAATCTTTTTTTATTAAATAAGGAGTTTACCTTCCATTCCAACTGCAAACGGCAAAACGGATACGATCATCCACGGTTGCATGTAATAGATCATGTCTATAGGATTTTTCATACCCATCTTGGATTTTTGTAAAAGAAGCTGTGTACAGGTCCATCGAACGCCGCTTGAAGCCGATGCAAGTATAAGTAATATAAAACCGATAATACTAAATTGTGTCGCTTGATATGTGAACAGGAACAATCCTAATGATATCATTATGACTATAGTACACAAACTCCACGACTGTAACAAAAGATTTAATTAGACAGTGCCAGTCATTCCTGGGTTATGATTACGAAAAAAAAAAACAGGGTTGTATACAAGAAAATTAACTGTTTCATTATACAGTACATGTAACAGAGTACACGTAAATGACTTATACTGTGAAAATAACAAATGCAATCTGACGATTTTGAAAGACCCATATTTAGAAATCTTTGGGAAGGCAGTTTCCAAATGAAACGTTGTGAACATTTGTCGTCCGTCCTACCTACTTATAAATATGTTACACCCTATACATCTCACAAACACAAAAAACTTATTCATTTTAAGCTTAGGAAGCTTTGAACTTCATTGTGATTGGTTAAAACACAAGTCAGTATTACGCTGAAAAAAATATGGAATTATTTTTTGTATTAATTGGGGAAATTTGCGTTTCTTTAATTTTTTCTCAGCAACCATACGAGTTACAACGACGGGTGGCACGACTTTGGATAAGCCTAGGGGGTTATGCCCTTTTCGATTTTGGAAATTTTTTTTCAAAACTGCCATGAGAGGGCACCCCTAAATGGAGGTGCGAAAAAAAATTTCGACGAAATTCTGTGTCTGGGGGGTTTTCAATATAAAAATCACGAATCTGAAATTGTTTTTGAAAATTCGCACAAAAAAACTGCACTGCAATTCTCGGCCGGACAATGAAAATGGAGAGAATTTCCCGAAATTTGTTGTGTACATACTTGATGAGTTAAGGAACAAAATTGTCGAACAAAAAACTTTTCAAACAAAAGTTATATTCATTTGGAGATTGGTCGTTCTGGTCACAGTGTCCCTCGCCTACTAGTGAGTCATCTAGTTTCGCATGTAGTTAGTTCAAAATGTCGCAAATAACAAAAAAATTGCGATTCTGAATCATAAAAATTAAAACTTCCTGACAAAGTAGGCACGAAAATGAATGGTTCATGACAACTTGATTACAGGGTCCTGAAACAGTGTGTCGGTCTTCTTTTTGAATTTACAAGGTGTATATTTATAGTAGTTTGATCCGAGGTTTGATCTCATTTGTTAACCTCTAAGTACATTGAAACATATTCACTTTTTGATTTTCTTATCAATGTAGCCATCTTATTAATTTTTTTTTGAATAATTCCCCAAAAGCAAACCTCATTTTGAATCGGTAGCCACCTTGTTTTTAAAGTCGAAGAAATACATTTGAGTAATCATGTTAATCCGAGTAAAAGGCAACACTGTGATAATGAAAAAGTGATACAGGGTGTTCACAATGAAATGGTAACATTTCCGAATTTCAATATGCCATAACTATTTTTTTTCAAATGGAAGTACCGCTATTTTATTTCGCTGTTTGATAGTCTTTTGTGTTCCCTAGAAATATACGGGGTGTTCTATTTTAAAAAATCAGTTATTGATTTACACTGTAAAATTGTGACACCTTGTAAGTTCAAAAATAGTTTCTATAGATGCGCAACCATCTAAGGACCCTATACAGTGTTATGCTCACCAGGAGAAAATGCCCGTCACAGAACACCTGATGCAGTTCTACATTCGTATGCTTTTCATATTAAACCATGGGATTGTAAACTGTTCTGTGACTAGCATTCCCTCCTGGCGAGCATATCACATAATTAAGAGTTCTGAATGTAAAACTACTACAAACTCGTGTATTAAATAAAATGTTAATATTCCAAAAATAAACCAGGATTTGCATATGAATAACAGATTGTTTAGGTACACAAGCCTCTGCAAACGTCAGTTATTTCCTCGCAGTTGTGGATAATCAAGTGTGATAAGAGCTAAATTTAGTTTAATCTGAAATGTACTACTATCGACTGTTAAATTGTTGCTTACGAGAAAAAATCAGCTCCTGGCATTGCAAATTTGCATTAGCACATTTGTACCTATCGCAGACTGCACATTGCACTGCATGTTGCGTAGATCCGATTTTAACATTACACGTAGCGCACTCATAATAAATTATTGTTACTTTATACCAGATGTTAAATTGACATCTTAATAGGGTGGAATGAGTAGGTTAAGTCTCTCTTTAACGGTAAGTGTAGATAGTCAGAACTTTAACGGCAAGGGTAGATAAAATGAGACAAATGCTTGCATTCTAATAACCTCTGTCATTCTTATTCAAAATGGGACGCGGATAACGAAATAAAAAAAATTCAGAACCGAAAACAATGTTTCCATGGAAACGACGGATTAACTTACGCTTGCAATTTTTTGGGTCTAAATCAAATTCAGAACTTTCAAAAGGTTTATGACGATAAAGGGAAATTAAAAGATGTGTTTGTCATAGTACCTGCAACCACCTAGCAAAGTGGCACAAAGTATACAAACAAAATATTAAGATACATAATTGTACAAAAATTCAGTACCTATTTAATCAATATCATTTGAGAAATAGCAAGCTTCCTTGCTTGAATCTCTTAGCAGACTTCTAATAATAGGGACTTGAAACAAGTGCCACATTATCAATCTGGAATCACAACTACATAATGCTATTTATTACACAAACCTCCATTTCAATTTGGTCCTATGAGCCGAATCACATTTTATTCATTCAATTATCAACTTTTTCCACATTTAATTACCATTACACATTAATTCACTAATGATCAAACGCAATATACAAAGGGAAAAAATTATCATACACAAACTCACCTTTTTCTCGAGCTTAAGTAAAATTGCAAAAAATAAAATAAATACTATCGATGTGGACTTGGTCATCGTATACCTAAAAGTAAAATTGAAAATTTAAAAAAAATGAACGTGATACTTACAATGACACTGTGACTAGCTCTAGACCCCAATTGGAAAACCCAATATCAATACCGCTAAAAATCCCAGTAGGCGATACGGCAATGAAATATTCTTTAAAAGTTAACGTAACTCTAGGCTTTCCTTGCTGCTTAATTAAAATGGTTCGTATAATACTAGCGAGCAAATATTTTACAATTAGATGAACGATCACTACGCTTAGAGGAAATCGAAAACTCTAAAATACGGAAGGGTTACAAGAGGCTGTCGGAGCTGTAAGAGTTACTTGCCTGGTACAGCCATCGTTGGTAAAACGTTAAACCGATGGAAAAGAAAAAGTATATTGATATAAGTAGGATGTTTCGAAACGAATACCAAAGACATTGTGTTGTTAGTAATTTTTGGGTTTTCACCTCCAGGTCATTTTCTTCATCCGGCAGGCAGTTTACTACCTCATATTTTTGTCTTCTTCCAACCATATGGATGTTTAGTAGTTTATTGTAAACGACATTAATAAAGATTTAACCTTACATTTTGGAGATTTGTGATTAGAGATGCAGTTCAAAGCTTCACCGCTACATAAAATTGTCGCCACTTGTCACGCTCATACAGAGTGGCTTAAAATAATATTCAAAAAGGAGCAAAATTCCTTTTTATATTAACGTTAGGCACTCGCAAGGTAAATTCAAAAACTGTACGTTCGAAAATCTTTGTTAAAATTTGCCCATACAATTGGATTTTTAAAAATTTGATACATTATCCAAATGTCGAGAGATTAGGATCTTTTTCTTGCCCCCCGTTAAAGGGGGAGTGATCTTACTTCGGAGAATTCGCGTAAAATCACCCCCTAATAAATCACTTTTCGCAAAATAAATTAAGCAATGGCGAAATCCGCTTGAAAAGATGATAATTATGAAAAACTTGAACTGAATTTTTCTCTTTTCAGTCCAAAATTGAAGTAGTCGACAATTTTCTTTGCTTTGTAAATTTTGTCTTGCGGTTCTAATAACGTTATTTGTTTTTAAAGCGCAGTGAGGAACATTGCCATTACCCATATGAATTATAGGTTCTGGTTCTGCACTACTTAAGTATAGAATTATTTTGTTTCCAGTTGTTTCGGTTTTTAAGGGTTCCAACATAAACAAATAAATAAATAGGAAGAAAATAATAGATAAAATTAAATACCCTACCAATACCCCTTAAGATAATAGCAACCAATTTTACCTACTTTCTTTTTCAAATGTTTTATAATAAACGCCAATATCTGAATTATTTAATAATAATAACACCTTTATTGTCTGCGATAAAGTATTTTGACATAGACATTGTCATACATTCATGGAGTTGAGATAACATTTTTTTTAAGTACATTTAAAAACAGTAAGCCAAGACCCGCTTACGTTTGTTATAAATGACCTGAAGTACGGATGGAAAGGAAGGTAAAATAAAACACTGAAATAGTGAAAAGTTTGTTTAATTACTACTCATATTGTGAAGTTTGTGAAAGTTCAGAAATTTAAGTCGAAATACATTACATTGCAAGAATAAATTGTGCAAATGGCTGGAAAAAAAGAACTTAAGAAAAAAACTAGCCGACAAATTAATATTAAATTGTGTAGCAAAATTAATTGTTTGTAATTATATGAATGCATGACAAAATCATATCAACAAAATAATATGTAGCATAATAGGCTTAGGTGACCTATAGGTTCAAAACAAGTTTTGGGAACAATGGGTCAGGTAAACAAGTACCAAAATTCTGAGAAAGGGTGAAATACACAGGATGTGATTCATCTAATCAACTAATTTATCGCAGATAGATTCTAAACCAAAGTTTTTATTAGTAGAATCTCGTCCCCGAGATATATAACTCGCCCCTCGTTCAAGGTTTCAAGCCCATAGTTAAATGTCAAAGACAATCACGGAATTAGGTGTCAGAATAACTCATTTCGTTACAGTTTTTGCCACCCCCGTGACTGCTTCATTCACAGAGCAAAATGTTAGTTACAAACAACAGGTCAGTACTTACACAAACAAACAGTTCGACAATTTGCACGTGTAAAAGAATGATCAAAAACATAAATCTAAGTTAGGGCCAAGACCATGTAATCGAAACATAAACAAAACATTACACTAAAAATGAATACGATTTGAAACAAAAGGTTAACGCTACCAAACAGATGAATCTGCAGTGGGGTTAAATGAAGTCAAAGATTGAAACACAAAAAATATAAAATGCAGCATACAAAACACAATACATTATAAAGAAATGCAAAGATTACTACCTGCATTAAATAACACAAAAATAACAACAAACTTTTACAAGCGATGTTTTCGTGATCGCCAAACGTAACCAACGTCTCTAGATGGCGCAGACAACTCTTCCCTTATAAAAATTGCGTGGTTACCAACTTTACGGATTTATAGCTGGAGCGTGGTTAATCGCCTGAACAAGCCCCCTTGGTCCCAATGTGTTGGGCTCGCTAATGCGGCTAAACAAAAAAAAAGTCAAACTACTCTAAAACAAAATGCCACAATTTGAGGAGGTTGCGACGGACCCGCCGTTGTTCAGTCGCCTTTTACGACACGCAGTGCCCCTGCGGTAGGGTTATTCTTTTCCGACCCTACACGGGTAAAATGTAAGCGAAAACGGTTTCACAAGACATTTAAAATTAATTAAATTAATTGATTATTAATTAATTTAAAATTGCGTAGTATTTGTAAAAGTGTATCTCATGTTTTGTTCCGGTCCTAGATAAGATACGGCTCCAAAGATAATTAGGTTCAAGACAAGGACGTGTTATCGCCGAAGTTTAATACAGGTGCAGATTATTCTAAGACTCCGCATTATTTTTATAAAGGAACGACGACCTAGAAAGATGTGTTCATTTTGGAGGCAGTTAATGCTGCTGAATTTTTCAAATTAATAAATTTTACGTCAATATCGAGATTTGCGTCATGGCGGAAGCTGGAAGTGCCCTAAAAAAATTATAATTATTTTAAAAGATTTTTGATGAGTTTGACCATACCTCACTTACTCTGTTCTAACTTTGCGATTATTGTTTTCCGGACCACTGAAAGAGACACCCTGTTAGTTAAGCCCTGACCTTTTCATTTGGAGTATACAAGTTTTTGTACTTGAAATCGACAGCAATTCACCTCATAGGATTGATTCATCCCATTCTACAGAAGATAATTGTGACAAATATTTATTCAAGTAACAACTATTGATAAAAGCGTTTTTTATAATGGCAATTACAAAATATATTAAGCACAATTGAGTTGGGAAAAAAATAAATTAGAAGACTATTCTAAAAAAATAACTTCTACCTATCTACATAATATCATGTGATGACGTCCCTCTTGACAATTAAACATTTTTACAGGCGGCTTTCTTCAGCATTTTTACATCAATCACGTTTTTCACTTTCTCAATTAAACCGACTAACTCACTCTCATTGTACGTAAAAAATAATTTGCAACTTTCCGCATCAATCTGCTTACTCTCTATGCTTTCTATTGCGTGATTCAAACAGTACACAGCGCCATCTTGCGAATAAATTACCTTAAAATTTACCACACGATTAAAGTGGGCGAGTTGTTGTAACGTACTTACCCATGAAATGAATAAATTGGTACAGCATACGTCACACTCGTAGTCGCCATTGTCGCTTTGCATTTGTTTTCTTTTCTTTACAGATGTTTCTGGCAAAGGAAATCTTTCTTTGATCGTTAAGCCTAATTGCGTTAATTTCCCAATACTCGACTTCTCCTTATCACAAAATGCTTCAATAATTGGTATAATTAATTTCAAAACCTCCACACTAGACCTAGCGTCGTTAGCGATACTGATTATCAGTTTTTCCAATGAAAACATTGACGGTTCGCAGTTGTTTTGTAACTCATTGAAAACCGCCTGCGCACGTTGCAGCCAATTGATGGGCGCAAAGTACACACTTTCAGATACAACGTACCCGGTGCATAAGCTCGAAGTGAATGCCTTTGGAAAAACAACAATGAATTGGCCCGGCTCTTGAATCACTCTACACAATGACACTTTATTTTCAACTAACAAGCTCGGAGGTACCATCGCAGTGTCTGATGGCAGCCACAGTGATTTGTTCCGACAATAGTTTGGCACTAACTTCAACAGTGCGGAACGAAACAATTCGCTCATCGAATCAGGAATTCCGTACCAAATTTTATTGCCACCAGTATGTAGATATTCTATCCACGGTAGACTGTGCGGATCTCTATACCAGCAACAGGCACTAAACACCATACCAACGTGCAGTGTTGGGACCGTGACACCTAACACCATTACTAAGAAACAATGTACACAAATTATCAACAACTTACCCATAACAGGTCCCATTGATCTTAAAATTGAAGCGCTATTGTTAGTCAACACTTTCAAATTCCACGCATGCCTCGCAAACGGGCTATTCTTCGAAACTGCAAAACCATAACCCCAATTACCGGAATCGATTGAGCCCGAATGAACGCAGATGTGATTCTGTTTAACGGTGACGTGTTTCCAAAACTCTTGCTCCACCTGAAACGCATTGTTAAATGGTGGAAGGCGCATCCAACGCAAATTTTACCTCGTGCGCGGCAGGATCCATCGTTTTAAACCACATGCACATCGTGTTGCGGGCAATTCGATAGAAAGCGTTAAGCGCCATACTCCTCCCCTTGACGATACACTCGTCAGACTCATCGTTTGAGTCATTATCCGAACAAGTCGAGGCGTCATCGCGCGCATTAATGTTTTGCTGCGATTTCAGTAGGGTCTTCGACTCGCGTTTCGCCCACTCGGTTTCCACTTCGTCAAATAGCTTTTCTCGTTCCGCTGCGGTTTTCGTTCAAACAAAAATGCGAGGGCAAACAAACTCACCTATTGCTAACGTGTCGTACGGAAGAAGATACTTGCAGTAGATGTCGTCGAGCTTCGTCACCCTATCTTGGGCGGATTTCGGAATTTTCAACAATTCGGAAACCTTTGGCCACTTTTTCTTTTCAATCACCTCTTTTAAACCGCCTAGATTTTGTACGATCTGATATAGACGAGGTAAATCGATTTCCATTCCTCCAATCTACAAATGCAAGGTAGTCCTTTGTGATGACTGATGAGTATGTACAGGTATACAATTCAGAGTACTCAGTTACACTTTTATTGGTCATAACGTCCACTGACGACCGTTCACTGTTTTCTGGATGTTAGGCATCCATTTTTGAAATTGGTAATAATCTACTTAAATTACAACATTCAATTACTGAGTACAAAATAAAGGCAAACTCGGAGAGTAACAACTGATTTGGTTGAAAAAATCCGAAGACGCTGGTTAAACGTGACGCGTGCGAGAAGCTTGCGAACGCAGTCCTCACCGCTCCGCATGCCTGCAATCTCGCAGCTTAGGCGTGAGCAGAAGAAATTTGTTTCGAATGCTTAAAGAATCACTTGTACAAGCTGCATTGACTACAACAAATAGCAGAGCGGGACCAAACTTGCTTTCTGTACTGCCACAGTGGTTTGATTCGTGGAAAACCCAGACATTGTAAACAATTTACTAATGGCGCATGAAGCATATTTCAATCTTACTGGCTTCGTTGGAGTCACCAGTGAACCAGAAAGAATTGCATGGAATGCCGTTGCATTCTCCTATTATTATTATTATTATTTATTTTAATTCCTAAAGTGGCAGTTTGGTGTAGTCGGAGTCCGTGAATGAACAAACAGTGACTCTTACTTCAAAATCCCATGTGCTGGAAGGCTTTGTTGAACCTGTAATGGCAGCTTGATATAGACCAACTAATTACTTCCAACAGGATGGAGCAACAGTCCACCACTGCGCGAAACAGTATGGTTTGTCAGGTCTGTGATTTCCGGTTTTGATGAATTAGCTTGGCCAACTCGATCTCCTGACCTTCGTGTACCATTTTTTTCTGTGGGGATATCTATGACTGTATATTAAAAAACGGATGGTGAATATTCCAAAACTAAGGAAGTCATACGATACCAGGTTGCCGCTACTGTTGAGAATCGACGAAGGCGCGTATACGACAACGTCAAATAACGTTTGTAACATTGCATTGTTGCACATAGAGGTCACCTGCCTGATGTAATTTTTCAAAAATAAACTTGAAATTGATATGGAAAATAAATGGTATACTTGGCTGTATTAATTTATGGAATATTTTACTTTCTACTGTATAAGCCTATGACCGTTTTTGAAAGAGAACAAGAATCTTGATAATTATACAAGGTAAGTCAACCTTTTCCAAATGGAACACCCTATATTTGTTTAAACATTTTAATTTATCAACTCAAAAGGAGTATTCTTCAAGTGTGTCTTATGCCTATATTAAATTGTTTTAAAAAAAAAAAAGATTTCGCAGTTAATTATAAGGTTTTTATTCTCTATTGACACAAAGTCTAAACTTCAAAATGTTGTTTGAAAGAAACAACTAAATAAACAACAAGAAGATATTAATTTATTACGATATCATGCAATCTATATAAACATAAAACAAAGTTGTGTATGTTACACCACTTATAACTCAAGAACAGCTGGACTAATTTTCATGATCTTTAAGTTGGATTCGTGTTCGACCCGAATAGCAAAATATCTATTAAACAAGTAAAAAAAGCACGAAAAAAATATTAAAAAAATTATTAATTAAGAGGACTAATGACAACAACCGTCAAATATTTAGTTTATATTGTATATTTTATATTATGTTTATGTGTAGAACTTGATGTGTCATAAACCAGATGTTATAGCATGATGAACACAAAATATTATTATATTGTTATAAAAAAATATAACAAATATTTTCAATGTTACCAACCGTCAAAATTAAAAACTGTCAAATTAAAAATTGATAGATATACGTCATTCGCGATTTCAATTAACTTAAATCATGTACTCACAAAACCTCAAAGGATTTAAAATGTGCAAACTATAACGGCATTATACAGAAATGATAGGCAATGTCAATGTACCCATTTCGGTTCGCCGGGATAGGCGTTACCACGTTCATCGTATCTATGAATAAAAAACATATTTGTATGTCTGTCTGTATGTCTGCCTGTCTAAACCTTAAATTCGATTCCGATGAAACTTTTGTGGATAGTTGGGCCCGCGAAAGTTTCTGAGTTAGTAAAACACTTTCCAAAATTCCCACGGGAACGGGAACAGAAAAAAAGATTTCATGTTTTACAGTCGAAAAGAGCCTTTTAGGATATATAGGTTTCTTTGAAGACGTTAAGGTGTACTCCAAAAAACTCCCAGAAGTTCCCACGGGAACGGGGTATAAAAAAACCGGGATATCTCAAAGGCAGTACGGACTCCGCCGCGACTGCTACATCAGTAAAAACTATGTAAGTTAAGCGCGGCATTTTGAGAAAGTGTTTTCCCGAGAAATTTTGTAGTGGTCGATTTTTGGTAAAAAAGGAAGGTTATACACTGCCTTTTTTTGAGGCTTGAAAAAAAAAATGTCTGAGATCGACCGGGAAAAAACATTTTCTTATAGAATTTGGCCTGTAGAATCCATAATTTCAAACAGTTTGACGATTGGGCCACTAGATCAAAAGTTACAGCCCTTTGAATTTTTTCTCGAAATTGGTTTTTTGTCCATAACTTTTGATTGAGAGGTCTAATCGAAAAAGTACGAGTCGATTTGGATTCTACGCATCAAAATTAATAAGAAAAAGTGTTTTCCCGAGAAATTTTGGAGTGGGCGATTTTTGGTAAAAAAGGAAGCCTGCCTTTTTTTGAGGCTTGAAGAAAAAATTGTCTGAGATCGACTGGGAAAAAACATTTTCTTATAGAATTTGGCCCGTAGAATCCATAATTTCAAACAGTTTGAAGATTGGGCCGCTAGATCAAACGTTACAGCCCCTTGAATTTTTTCTCGAAATTGGTTTTTTGTCCATAACTTTTGATTGAGAGGTCTAATCGAAAAAGTACGAGTCGATTTGGATTCTACGCACCAAAATGCTGCTGAAAAGCATTACCCTGTGCAAGATGGCCGGCAACAGCGACGTGCGCGAGCATTTAAGCGAGTTTTTCAACTCAGTCGATAAGCTGAGCGATGTGGACTTCACCATCAACCCGGACAATCCAGTTTCGACATATTTTGGTTATTTTCATGTTGAAATGCCATCAGACACTTTCACCTTCACTTCCGTTTAGAAATGACGCATCTTGTACAGAATTTTTACAAAATTTGAAACAGCTTACCCAAAAAAACTCGTTTCATTCTTTCCTACTTATGGTTACTGAAAATACAGTTTTAGGGCCGGGGAGGGGGTGCTATAAAACGAAACATTTTTAATCCTATTTAGAGCAAGTTATAAATCAGCATATGCATGATGAAAGCGCATTTTTTGTAATGTAGATCAGTATTTCATTAGCAAAGTTTAAAATTATCGATCTCACGAATAATCTAACTCATAATAGACTAGAGTCTGCACATCTACACTATAACAAAAAGCTTTTAGTGAAAATTTGAAGTCTCTAGCAATTGTAATTGCTGAGATCTCAGTCGGACAGCCAACCAGTCATAACTGTGCTTAGTCTTTCCACACAAAAATAATATAAATAAATGCTACAAAGACGATTACCAATATAAATACGGTGGACATTATAATCAGAGTTAGGCAGTGGGCGTTCTGACCACTAGGAATACCTAATCCATTTAGAAATAAACCAAAAAATTAGTAATATACTGGAGACGAAAATTAGTACACAAACTAAACTTACCCATGGAGGATGAGTTAGCGTGATATTTTGCGTTTCCAAATATTTTGAAATCGCCATGAACTCCTTAAAATTGGGACCCCATCTATGAAGCATCTTATGAACATACTGGTTATACGCTGTGAACCGCATGTCATCCGCCACTTTACACTCGGGTTTAAAATTACTGGGCGGTACAATGCGGCAGATACCAAACTGTTCGGCGTGTACCCGAATTTTCTGTATATACTCCAAAGGATCTTGAAATTCCTTCTCGTTCGGATAAAAGGTCGGAGCTTCCACTACCATAGGCGATCGATCGCCTTTCGGAAACTCATTCGTTACGATCGGGTTGCATAATTCTAACGGTCTGACGCGCGTCTTGACGCACTGACGCTTTGTGACCTTTGTACTGGAAGAGGAACTTGCGCTTGGAGAGCTTGGAATTTTGTATTTGCCATCGTCGGAGTAGTCGGATGACTTGCTAGGGGCGCCGGCTTTGAGGTAACTTTTTCCGTCGGTCGCTTTCGCCTTTTGAACAGTTGATGCGGGTGGATACATCGACGTCATGGTCACCAGTGGTTTCTCCACTAACTTTTGCACTTCCATAGGGTTATGCGTTACCAGTTTCGCGCTCATGACGACGCGTTGATTCGGTCCATTTGCTCCCTTGGTACCGAGCTTCACTGCGACACCTTGGATGACTTGAGACGATGATTGTTTGCCGGGTTGCAGAGGAATGTAAAACAGCTGTTCGCCATCTTCGCGATCGGATTGCGCGTTTTCGGCATTTACAACTACTTCTGCAGTATTAATGTCTAATTGTACGGCGATCGAGGCGCTGTTACTCTCATCCGTTGACAACATGAGCGAAACTTCCTGCTTGTTCGCCGCTTTCGCGCTGTCCTGTTTCAAAGGGGGCGGATACCTAAACTTAGATTTCGATGATTCATCAACCTTGGAGGAATCTTCGGATCTGGACGTGCCAGTACTCGATGGTCTCCGCGACGGACGCCTAAACGGGGTACTGACCACGTCTTCGCTGTCCGCCTCAAACGCGTAAACGCTGCTCTCGTTATTGGCGGAGAACGCGTTCACTTTCGGAACGGAAGTTCTCGGCTCCTTCCGAAAGATAGTCTTCTTTTCGGCGATCTTTTGGTTACACTGAGAAGTGTCGGCCTTGAAAGACTTCGGAGGGCTCGTTTCATCTTTGGGCGCGGGGACAGCTTGCATTTTGGCGAGCTTCTTCCCTTCGTCTTTGCAGTTAGAGTCGCTCCCATCAAACGCGTAATCGGCAGACTTCTCATCAAACTTATACAGATCCTCCTTCTTAATAGAACTACCCGCCAAAGCGCTATCCTTCAACCACTGTTCGATTTGTTCAGTCGACATATTCACCTTGCCTTTCCCAAACCGTTTGTCCACATCCTTGCATAGGAGATCGGCGGACGTAGTCGACACGCATTTGCTTTGAACCTTTTTACTTTTCACGGTTTCTAGCTTGGTAAATCTGTTGTAATACTTTTCCTCGTCCTCCGACGACGAGAAGAGAGGTAAATAATTCTGAGGTCTCTTCGTGCATTCCCTCTTCGGTTTACCGCTGAGAGTGAGCGTAGTGTCAACCTCCTTCTTGGTCTGTACATCCGAAAGCTTCTCACTTTGCGATTTAACTTTGGTCAATTTCGAAAGCGGCTCTTCGTCAGAGTCGCTAAAAATGTTCGCGATTTTCTCGGGCACTTTTTTCGCCACGTTTAACTTTGAGATCGACGATTCCTCCGAGTAGCTGTCCATTGGCAACTTTGTTTTGCTCTTACCTGTGTCTGTCTTTTTCACTTTTACTTTATAGGGAACCTTTTGTTTTAGCGAATCTTCGGAATCGCTGTAATCTGGGATTGATTTTGACTGCACTGTTCCTCTTGTTACCCGCTTTACCACTTCAAGCACCCGAGGGACTTCGGGGGTGGGATTCGAAATAAGTGCGTCCAGTTTATTATCGTCAATTTTTGTCATGTCGGTGCATTCCACTTTTGATAATTCGACACATTTTAATTCGTCTTCCACTTTTTGAACTTCAACTTCGCTAAGATCATGATTTTTTGACTTTGCTATCGCCTTTAGTTCATTTTCTCTTTGCTCAGTTTTGCGCACGTTCGGAAGTTCTGGAAAGCTGTCAATGGAAATGTTATCCTCGTCCATTCCGTCCTCGTTGACCAATTTGTGACCCAGAATTTCCATGTAAATGGCAGCTGCCTCCTTTGTTTTTCTAGTTGGTCTTTGTGATATACGAGGTTCTTCACAATTCGCAAGCTTCTTCTTGATAGGCTTTGCTTCCAGTTTTTCTGGTTTGTTTTTGCTGCCTTTGAGGGTATCAGGAATAGTAGTGTTCTTCTCTGGAACATTTTTCACAATACCATCCGTTTTTCCTGTCGATTGCACATCTTTGACAGCTGGCACATCCGCCACTTCCATTTGCTGCTTTTGATCAGTAGGCGTAGCATCTGCCTTCTTGGAATCTTTCTCAATGTCAACTTTTTTTGAGGTACTTGGTGGAAGTGTCTCTGGTTTTGGTTTCACTGCCTTAGAATCCAATTTCACAGGCGTTTTTTTGGCAGGCTCCGCTTCTACTTTTGCAACACTGGTCTCGTCAACCTTACTTTTCTCTAGCTCGAGCAAAATCTCCGTCTGCGCTTTTGGTTGTGTCAATTTTGGAACGTCGGTGACTGTTTCAACTTTGACTTTTCCCGACGCTTTACAAACGTCCTTTGCATTTCCAATAACTGCATGAATATCTTTCTGCAGTATCACACGAAATTGGTCCGATGGTTTTATGCACTCGATCTCAGTCTTTTCCTTCAACTTTTGCAGTTTTTCAGTCGGCTCCACAGACTGTTTGCAGCTGCCTTCGTGTTTCACTTTGTTAGCCTCAGGTTCAGTTTTTTTGGTTCCCCCCACCTTCCCTGCACTTTTCAACGAATCCGCCTTTTTAACATCACTACTGACGCAAGTCATTTTTTTCTGTAAATTCTTTGCAGGTACAGATGTTATAGCAGTCCGTGTAATTCGTTCCGGCGTAATTTTCTGTGTCGTAATCAACTTTTTCACTTTTCTTTCCACAAGGCAATCTTTCTCATCATTTTGGGACACGTCCGATTTCTTTTTATCATCGCCGCTCTTTTTCTTCATCTCGCACACCTTACGCGCTCGCAAGTTTAAAACCTTCTCTTTATTTCTTAATTTCCCCAAAACCGATTGCTTTTCGTCCAACTGCGACTTATGCTTAGTCGCTAAAAGTTTCGGTGCGGTCAGCTTAACGTATGGCAGTTTCGGATTTAACGTCGATCGCACCATATGAATTTTGCGCTTAAATCCTTGCTCGTGGTTTTTAAGCAACACCGGATGGGCTCGAGTAACACGAAAGCTGTAAAAAATGGAATTTTGTCTTAACTGGGAAAAAATAAAATATAATAAAATAAATGGCACGCCGCCGCGTCGCGCTCAAGTGAATGGCTAAAGCGTATTTTTGCTATAGCTGAGTAATTTTTATTCAAGCTGGTTGAAGCATGCGCAAACAGAAATTTGAAACGCACGCGGAAATATGATTTTTAAACTGACCCAACAGATTTACTGTAATTAATTTTATTAATATAAATAGGTACATAAGAAAGGTGAACGCGCTTGCGAAATCGTTTCCAACAAAATTCTTTCTTTTCGTCCATTAAAAAAAGGCAAAAAAATGGCCGCTATGTGTGTAAATGTAATGCTGAAACTTCAAACTCTAGGAGATATAATCAAAAAGACATTCTTCCCGCACTATACCAATTGGAAATACTTATCAACTTTTTCTTTAGCTGAATACATCACACACGAACCAAAATTACAATAGGGAAGTCAAAGCGATAATATTCAAATTAATTAATATGACAGGCAGATCCTCATTTATTGTAGGTAGTTACTTTGGTTGCATAACATTAGGCGTCTTTCAGGAGACTTTTTATCATGTAAAAGTAGACATAGGAAATCCCTACATGAATTATATCGCTATATAACAATTTGACATTTTTTAAAATCATGATTCAGGTGCAAAAAATATGTATTAAAATGTCTTAAAGATCTCTCACGGCACAGACAGCCAGAAGAAATGAGAAAGTGACCGCAATAGCATAAGTAAAAATGTGTGTTTTGGAATTTCAAAATCTGGGAAACCAAATAAGCTGCTACTCAAAAAGTTTTTGACACGATTTCATTTTAGTAACACAATATATTTTCAATTCAAAAAATTTGAACATTTCAACATCTTTTTTCAGATCTTAAAAAACTGTAAGCGGGTATAATGGTGTTTAGGGGTATCTAAAAACCTTCTTGAGTAACCAAATGTTTTCTCTTAAAAGGTTTCAATGCTCTCCACAGGCATTCAATGCCCTTTAGTTCCTCTATTTGGTATTTAACAACTTTTGATAGTCGTTAAGAGCTTTTAATAATGTTTAATACTCGTCGACTCAATCTAATGTACCCATTGCATTACGATTACTCTGGATTTAGTGATATAGGTGTTCACAACGAAATGGGAAACTTTCAGAATCTCAAAATGCCATAACTATTTTTTTCAAATGGGAGTACCACTATTTTATTTCGCTATTCAATAATCTTTTGTGTTTTCTTCAATTTTTATAAGGGGTGTACTGTGCTTAAATTATTCAATATTTTTCACAAAAGTACCTACCTACCTTTTAATTAATTACATGTTTATACATTGGAGTAGGCTGTGATAATAAAAAAATAATAATACCAGAAAGTAAACAAGACAATCGAAGAGCGTAGTAGTTCCATGTGCAAAAGAATAGTTACAGCACTTCGAACAAATGACATTGAATATACAGGATGATCAGTTATTTATTGACACTGTAAAAATGGTATACCCTCTACATTCAAAGTAATTTCTGTAGATCCACAACCATCTACAATTGACATTTGTACAGAAAATTTTTTTAATTATTTTTTAACCAGGTATGAGCTAGGAAAGACCTAAAGGACCCTGTATATAATCAAATACTATAATATTGATTCGGAAATTTTTTATGGCTCTTTAAAAATTGGGAAATTTTGTAAATTGTAACTTTTGGTTCTTCTGTTTCAATAGGTTGCCGACCCCCTGATCTAAAATATACAGATTTGATATTTCGACTCTCATAAAAAATATGTCATAAAATCGGTCAAGGCTGTCGATAATATAAAGACCTTGATGCATAGCTTTCTCCACGAGGGGTCTTGAAATTTTTATGAACATTCCGCCAATATATTCAAAGTACAGGCATATACGTGAAAAGGATATCACAGTTAAAATCATGTGGTTAGCGGTAAACACACTGTATATTTAGATAATACTATAAATACCTGAAAAACGAGAATTCCTTCCGTCCGCCTAAGAGCTTGAGATATCAGCCACATTTTCTTTTGTTTCATAGGAGCTAATGCAAAAGGGTGGACGAAAAGAAAGAATTTTTGTGGAGACATTTTCTGTGTCTGCGCAAGCGCTAATTCAAAGACATTTTAACTGCAGATACTTGCGTATTCAGAGAATCGAGCGGTAAAAAATGAACTTGTACAGGGTGGTTCAAATTTGTGGCTCACCATTGGGATCACCTGAAAATGTCCAACTTCATTTTCATTTTCCCTAACTAAAAGGTCGAAAATAGACGGTTTCCGTTAGCACCTTCTATGGGTACGCTAGATGTAGAAGCTACAGGTTACCACTTTCTTATGGACGCCATATTGGATTTTTACAGAAGATAGAAGACAAAGAATAAAAATAATGATGTAATACATAAATTCAAAAGAAAAATTCACTTCTCAAGGGGGGGGGGCGAGTGGCGCTTGCCACCTGGCCTGTAGATCATAATGGCCCGTTGGAAATTTATAAGTATGTGCTGTATTTAGTTTCTTGCATTATTAATAAATTATTAACACGTTTCTCTAATTGGGGTTGACATTAGGTTGTTAAAAAATTCTGTTTTAATTGAAGTGTTTTACAATACAATGATAGGCGACGCACCTCGTGTGGATTGTATTACTTTTAATTATCAGCTGCAATTTAAAAAAAAACTGTATGGTAATTTTCTATAAGAAAACTTTTTTTCAGGGTCGATCTGAGACAATTTTTTCTTCGGGGCCCAAAAAAAGGCAGTGTATTACCTTCCTTTTTTACCAAAAATCGACTACACCAAAATTTCTCGGGAAAACACTTTTTCTTATTAATTTGGGTGCGTAGAATCCAAATCAATTCGTACTTTTTGGATCAGACTTCTCAATCAAAAGTTATAGACTAGAAACCAATTTCGAAAGAAAATTCAAAGGGCTGTAACTTTTGAACTAGTAGCCCAATCTTGGAAATGTTTGAAATTATGGATTCTACAGGCCACATTCTATAAGAAAATTTTTTTTCCGGGTCGATCTGAGACAATTTTTTTTTCGGGGCTCAAAATTATTAACACGTTTCTCTAATTGGGGTTGATGTTAGGTTGTTAAAAAATTCTGTTTTAATTGAAGTGTTTTACAATGAATTTATCGTTTTTTGTCGTAGCATGAAAGTGCTGAAATACAATGATAGGCGACGCACCTCGTGTGGATTGTATATTTTGTTACTTTTAATTATCAGCTTGCAATTAAAAAAAAACTGTATGGTAATTGATTTTCGAGAAAGGAGCACTGTTTTTGTGGTGCACTCCCCCCCCCCCGCCACCTTCATTACTACACTAATACTTTAATGGCCCGTAACCTATGCAATTCCACCTGGCCCTTAAGTACCCAGTCCGCCCCTGAACATGGCTATGATTGCGATGCATTCAAATGAATTTCTTTTTTGTCCCCTATCTCATTCCATAAAAATTCAATATGGCATCCATAAGAAATAAGAAAGTAGCCTGTAGCTTCCTACATCTAGTGTGTTTTGGAAATTCTGATAACAGATTCAGATTCTCCAAAAAAAAATGCCCATAGAAGGTGCTAACGGAAACCGACCATTTCAGACCCTTTAGGGAAAATGAAAACAAAGTTTGACATTTTCAGGTGATATCTCAATCATTTGTTTTATATTATTTTGTTTTTACTTAATTAGTTTCAACGTATGTTTAAAATAATAATAATTCGATTATTTACAGATTTTTCAAAAATTTGAATTGCGTATTTTTTGTATTGACCCCATTTAACCTATATACACTGTATCTCCGATGAGATAACCGATATCATAATGAGGTGAGAAAAGTCAGCACCCTGTATATTTTAGGGGAATTAACAAATTGAAACTAAGTCAATCGGTTCTTCTTTTAGCTTGCTACAGAGACTTGCTATAACTAGACTGCGCTTAACGTATCTAAGGTGTTGTCGACACAGTATGCAACACACAATGCACCGCGGGGCAAAAATCGCAGAGATGATGTGCAATATAATGAAATAAGCTGTTATTTTAGATGTTCCGTTCTTTAATTATTCTCGTGATTAGCTCGAATTAGTGAACAGATAAATTTCTGTCGAGAATAAACCAATAAACTTAGGTTAACTCGTGCGTATCAACATGTACTCTGTAGATAGAATTTTAAATAATATGCAGATTTCCAATGGATAAAAGTTTAAAGGGCCAATGGATCAGAGCCATTCGAAGAGAAAAATTTACTCCCACCATAGTGCATTTGCGGGGAATGAAGCCTATTTTAGACAGGTACCTACGAAGGTGTTAAACAATAACGCAATACCGAGCGTTTTCGACTTTCCCATTCACTTAAAATAACGTAGAACTATTATTCGACATCCTTTACCAGATAACGGCAGTACCTATTTGCCTATTAGGTATAGACGTAACTAAATACTTACTGGTACTAAGTATATTTCAGGTTTTGTTACAAGAAAAATAGCTATAAGTCTGTTAAATGTTCCATATGTGCAGATGCGATATTCGCATCAGAGAGTCATTCAAAGCTTTTAACTAGAAAAAAATCGTGGAGGATTGTTGCACGTATCAAGCGATGAATTAAAAATTTGCCAAATTGCTGAAAATGTGTTCAGGTTTTTCATTCAATCCACACCACACCGCGTTGTAAACAAAATGGTTATCAGCAGTCTAAGAAAAATAAATAACAGTTACAGCCCATTTGGGTTTTTGGATAGGCATATATTGAATCAAAATCCGCTAAATAATCATATCTTACTACTTACATCTTTAGTTTTAAGAGTATATTTTCCCATGCGTGTTCACCACCAAAATACACATATAAATCGAATTAGGACCAGAGTAAGGCAGTTATATACCAATTTAGTACAAATAAAATACCAATAAATTCGATTAAAACAGTTAACAGTTATATGTTATCTTTTTTTGCTACTAAAATTTAGAATAAACATATGCTAAAGCAAGCTGCAGAACGTACGTCTGCCCCGCGATGAACAGTTGGTTGCCTATCCTATCTTGACAACAGGCGTTTATAGTAAAATGTACGTTACGCGCGGTCTAGTTATAACAAGTCTCTGGCTTGCTACAACTGGCACAATTACGTATAGAAAAATGTATTTATTCATTGAAAGGTGGGCAAATGCAGCAGAAATTATCAGGATAGATTAAAAAAACAATTAATTTATGTAATAAGTCATTACCCCGATACTGGGGGAACATCAGCAAAAAGAAGAAGAAGAAGAAACAGTTTCTCGTTTTAATGAATTTTTTAATTACACAAGCAGTGCTCTTCCCAGATTTGTTTGAGAATTCAAAGATTGTTAGAATTCTGAGATGTTTTTCTTGACTCTCTGCATTACTTTCTCAGAATTCCAAGCCTCTTACTCAGAAATCTGAGATTTAAATTATTTCGAGTTAAAGTCAAATTTTCAAAACCAAAAAAAAAATGACACACCTGACAAAAATCCTCATACCTCATCTCTGAAGGTTTCTTTGATGGGACAACACGTTTTTTTGTAACAACTTTATTCGGTTTATTCACTTTAAAACTCTTAAGAGGTTGATCGTCATCCGACGAAAACTCAGAAGATATCTCCCTAGTCTGCCTCGTTTGAACTTTCTTTATAATTTTAGTGGTGTTTTTCCGTTTGGACTTTTTAATTGTTAGCTCTCTCTGTATAAACCTGCCACGAAAGCTCCTCAAACACATCTTCTTCTGTATCGTTGACCGGATTGGTGTTGTAAAAGTTGTCCTCAGTGGATTTTTGATTGAGGAACGCGTTGTGACTTTCACGTGCTTTGTCGAAATAATCTTTACTTTGGTTTTCTGTGGTATGGTCTTTTTGATTGTGTTCGACTCATTCTTAGATATCGATCGTGTGCGTACGACACTCTTACTAGTCACCTTCTCCGACAGTTTACTTATTGTCACCGCGCGGATCTTTGCCATCTTCTGCTCCTGATACTTGCGCCGTAAAGCTTGTAAAGCAAGCGCGTGTCTACGTTTCTTATCCATGTGCTTGGTGACAAGTATGGGATCTGCGCGTTTACGTACTCCGAAAGCGATAAACGGCCTTTCGCTACCGCCAGCTGCCGATCTGGTACCAATATTTGCAATCGGCGGAATAACAGTTATCGGTTCCTTCTGCAAAGGCTGGACGTGAACATGCGAATCCACTGGGGCCGCATTAAAGAAGCTGAGGTTCGGCGGTAGCATCGTCGTTCCACGGAAGCACAGGAATGTTAGAAAATCTTCAGTGTGCGGACGATTTATCGGTAACAATTCTTGAGGTTCAGGAATAACGTCGACCCTCTGTCTTTCCTGCTTTTCGATTTCCTTAACAGGCGTAATGACCGGACTACTAACATTTGATCCTTGTGCAAATTTACGTTGTGCTTGCACCTTAGTTCTGCAAGTTAAGTTGCATTGTATAAACGACAATTTGGCTTAGTACTTACCTTTTAGGGGCGTCATCGAGTAAATTACACGAAACATTGTTGGTCTTACGTTTTCGTTTGATGTCTTTTTTGCTGATCACCATTTTATTGCCACTGTCCCTATCTTTCATATAACTAAAGATATCACAATAGGTGTAGCCTAATCGGTTTTGTCTAATTCCTACTGCAAAAAGAATATATTTTATCACAGTAATGAATGAAAGATAGTTACCATATCAAATTCATGCACCTGCTCGGTTCCACTAACTTAGAAATCATTGTTTTCAATGGATCAAGGCATTTCCTCCTTGTTTCTTGTAATAGCTGTACACAAAGCAAAATAATTGTGCAAAAAAACTTGTTTTGAATTCGGTAAGTTGCTTTTGCAGTTCCTTGTCATTTGTCAAAAATAAACAAACAAAACAAATGTCAAATACGACAGTAGCTGCGTTCAGCATTAAAACTAAAGCCTAGTTTTCACAATTACATTTTTCCTAGTCTTCAAGAGTGCACACGAAAAAAGGTTTAAAATTAAAAATGGTTTTTGTATATATAATTGGTAGAATTAGCAGAGATGTAGTCTGCTTGTTTTCAATCTATTCATAATTTGTATTTGTTAAAGCTCTTTACAAAACATATTATACCTTTCATCAGAAACAAATAAAATATATAATATTAAAAGGAATAATAAGAAATAACTAAAAAGTAAGATTAGAACAACATGTGCATTAGAGTATATTTTAGAAAATTTAGAGAACAATGGCATACATTATATAAACACTCACACTTCCCCGGACTCCAACGCCATTGTTGTACTTCCGATATCTAGTATATTCTACAATTAATACGGTTTTATAAAACCGTTTTTTTTTAATTGTCTCTTTCACCCACCTTTAGAGCAGTGTTAGTTGTGGCAAAGATCATATGATCTTTGATTGTGGGTACACTAATTTAAGTCACTCCGTACCCATAATTTTTTCAAAGTTATTTTTCACCTGAAGATACGTTTAATCGAAACTATAGTTGTGAATATACTTGTCAATATTTTAAATCTAACATCAGGGGCACCGGGCACTTATGTTGCCCGGACCCCGCTGTAGCTCTCAACGTCTCTGACCTTAACTACCATTATACTAAAGGTTGTTTAGTACTTTGGGAAACGTTTTTTTTTAATAATTTTTGTTAATATATGTAGCATTTTACGTTTTTACCAGTCATTTTAAAGTGATACAAATGTGGGTTAGTACAGTAAATCCATACAAATTACATTACATTACACAATTAAACATTTTATTTAAGTAAAAAATCAATGTTTCTTAAAAATACCTTGACTTTAACAAAAGGCACAGGCAGCATCTTTGTTTTAGCTGCCTTTTGAGTTCCCATCCTTTTCTCTCTTACTATTTGGACAGTCTGTCTCATATCATTTATATCCTATGTTTTCGGTTCTTGGGACTTACATTCTAAGAAGTTACCTACCATTAGCCTTATTTACGTGGGATCCTAAAAAAAATAAAATTAGGTACATATTACAAACATATACGGGTAGCATATAAAAATTAAGAAACTGCGTGTAAATATTTTATAATATTTAAAATAAAAAATTTAAAAATACCAACCTTATAGCCGAAGGAATAAGAGAAATGAAATTTATTATGAACGGGGCTTGGTTTCCGGAACAAATCCAAACCGAAAACCCAGGAAAACAAGAACAAGCAATAAAAACCTGGCATAACACACAGTAATACGCGAAATAAATCAACTACAGCAACAAAATACAAGAGAAAATACACAATAAAATTGAATTGTTATGCAGTAAAAACACGACAAATGGGACATCATAAATGCAAGTGGAAAACATGATAAATCAATATGTAGTAGGTACAAAAAACATTAAAATGCATATACGATCAAAAATAACTCGTAAAATGATAAATTGCATGTATATAGAAACATCAAAATGGCGTGGCTCATCTACTCCAGCATCAGTTCACATAAATTAATTTAACACAAAAAGTAGGTACATGTGAGAATGCCAATAGCAAGTATTCATGTGAAAGTAGATCACCCCACATACAATCCTGCATCTTAAACAGAAGAAAAGGTAATTAGAGGACCCCCCCCCCTTCTCGTTTTGCGACACAAGTTTACAACCCGCATACGTACGAAATGAAGAAAAAAATGTATACAGCCAAAAAATCGAACTGCATGAGGTTTTTCGTTTTCCACGGGGATAAATTCATCAAAAATACCTAATAAAGCACGGCTTGCGCGGCTCCCTTCTCTCTCCGGTGAATCTTCGCACTTGCCATTCTTTACTATACATTCTCCCACTCTGATGTCGCGGCAGTATCTAACGAGAAAACAGAGGAAACCGGTGGGTGAATTTCTTTACAACAAATAAACTATTGTAACAAAATATAGCAAACGAGCTCCTGGGTCACTGAAAAGTTAATTAGTTCTTCCTTGGATGATGATAAACATAACACTGACTGAAAACAGAAATGATACATTTTAAACCGTTCGCGAGTTATCATGAACACAGACGGAAAGTCCAAATGACCAAAATTTAATCAGTTAGTCCTTTGACCATTGTCTATACCTATTATTGAAAACCATTCGCGAGTTATCACTTATCATATACACCAGGGGCGGACTGGGTACTTACGGGCCAGGTGGAATTGCATAGGTTACGGGCCATTAAAGTATTCGTGTTGTAATGAAGGTGGCGGGGTGGGGGGGGGGGGGGTGCACCAGAAAAACATTTTTTTGCTTCATTTTAGTACTCCTTTTTTTCGGAAATCAATTACAATACAGTTTTTTTTTTAATTGCAGCTGATAATTAAAACTTTTGATTGAGACGTCCGATCGAAAAAGTACGAATTGTTTTGGATTCTACGCACCAAAATTAATAAGAAAAAGTGTTTTCCCGAGAAATTTTGGTGCAATCAATTTTTGGTAAAAAAAGGGAGGTTATACACTGCCTTTTTTTGAGCCCCGAAAAAAATTGTCTCAGATCGACCCGGAAAAAAATTTTCTTATAGAATGTGGCCTGTAGAATCCATAATTTAAAACAGTTCCAAAATTGGGCTACTAGTTTAAAAGTTACAGCCCTTTGAATTTTCTTTCGAAATTGGTTTGTAGTCAGGGGCGGGCCAGGTGGAATTGCATTGCTTACGGGCCATTAAAGTATTAGTGTAGTAATGAAGGTGGCGGGGGGGGTAGCTCTGCGGTGCACCACAAAAACATTTTTTGCTTCATTTTAAAGTACCTACTTACTCCTTTTTCAGAAATCAATTACAATACAGGTTTTTTTTAAATTGCAGCTGATAATTAAAAGTAACAAAATATACAAACCAAACGAGGCGCGTCGCCTATTGTATTTCATCACTTTCATGCTACGACAAAAAATGATTAATTCATTGTAAAACACTTCAATTAAAACAGAATTTTTTAATTTTTTAACAACCTAACATCAACCCCAATTAGAGAAACGTGTTAATTACAAGAAACTAAATACAGCATATACTTATAAATTTCCAACGGGCCATTATGACGTACAGGCCAGGTGGCAATCGCCACCCGCCCCCCGGGCCAGTCCGCCCCTGATATACACAGACCGAAAGTCCAAAATCATGAACCCTCTTTTAGGAGCTCGATATGTTATTTGTGGGAAATATGTTATTAGGTAACTACTACACATTTCACAATTAATTATATTGTACACGTAGACCAAATACTTTTGGGTACAACTACTTTTACAACCTGCAAATTATGGCCCCAAATTTGTAATGGGTAGGGTGTGTGCCTGTTCTACTGGTATTATTAAGAAATCAAAACATATTTAAGTTTCATTTTACTTTTAACTAAAACTAACACACTAAGAAAGCATTATGCTGAATCCCGCACGCTGCTTTCTTTTCTCTCGTCGTCGTAGTAGCAAAGATCATAGTGTAGTATGATCTTTGATCTTTGGTAGTAGCATAGAGTAGATATTACACTACAGATACATATTTACACTATGGTAGTAATAATCTTCGTTGCGACGCTACCTCCTCTCTCAAGTGGATCTTCGCACTTCCACCTAGGTGCCTCAATTTTTAGAGCATTTATCCCGCTGCTGAACAAGACCAAGAACGCCTCGCTCCCAAAATTCCCTCGAGCGTGAGGCGATCCAATCACTGACCTCATCCAGTCACATCTGTGCTCGACCACATTTTGGTAGTAATCTGAAACTGTTGTCACCAGCATATACCTACAACAACCATTCTGCGATGCACAACACCTCGCTTTTATTCCTCAATCGATCGACGCTGTCACTTTAAACAATTGAAACATGGACGCCCCTAGCGCGTGTACCTGGCAGTCTTCTCTGTGGTCTTTTCGACCCATCAACGCGGTCTCTACATCATCACGCACAAGACCCTTGACTCACCCTAAAACTTACACAAATTATTACGGTTTCGATCGTTACTTACCTACAAGTAAAAGAACAATGTCTTAATATTGCCAAATGTTGCCTGAAAGTAGAGTTCTGCCATTGTTTTGCAATACAATTGCATATTGCAACAAACGACAGGCCAAAAAGGAGAATAATTTATGTCGAAAGAGCGAGGAACGTGCTAAATTAATGTCCTACATGTGCTATATACATACCATGCTAGAATATCGTAGGTAAAGGACGGCGAAATTTGGCATAGAGGGATGAAAATCAAGCGACTAGGATAGTTTCAAACATTTGAAGGGTAACTAGAATCTTTTAATTCTAAGAAAACGGCGCTAACATAGGGAAAAGGCAATATAAAAGGTTTTCCGCTTATAACTAATATAATAACAATAACTGGTAACGATACTTTATTGTAATAAAACTACGCTAAAAAAATAAAGCTTAGAGAATAGTCGCACTATTTATGCTATGGTGCAGCATATTTGTTTATTGTTAAGACAATCTTAAGTAACTAGGTAATATCTTTCATTTATAATTTACTTATTATTTATGAACACAGACGCAAAAGCTATAATCACATAATATTCAATTTCTGTTAATATTACAAAGGGCAGTTTACCTTCACACGTGGTTATATTCCCACTTGATGTGACAGATGCAGTTTATACATTTCTACAATTCTTTTCTAGCGTCGCAAATTTCTTATTCAAAGCCTTTAGGGTACTTTCAAGCTTTTCCACTCTACGCATTAGACTCTCCACATTATCTTTACTTGAATTTAGTTCGAGCGTATCCTCCACCATTGTGGTGTTGCCCGTCTCCCTCCTAAATCGCCGGCCACTGAGTCTACTTATTGTGTTAATTTGTCCAGAAACCCTGCAGTCGTTACAGCATTCCGTCCAGAATCTTAAATCAACTCTCGGAAGTTCAGAGCATGCCGTAAGGCCTCCTTGCAGGTCGTGCATACGAAAGACATCTTTGGTAATTGTAGTTATATTGTCGCTGGTGTCGCAGATCACTTGCGCTAGCGTGTACTGCTTAATTTGTACAAGCTGTTCCGGTTGAAACGTTGACGGATTTTCGTACCAAAACCGATCGCCATCGCGCAATCGCCGAAACTGTTCAATTAGCAGGCATCTGAATAGTGGCCCGACTCGGCCACCTTCCACTTGATCTTCCAATATACCACCGGCGAAAACGTCTATGTTCCCGGGATGGCCGTAGAGCTCTTTCAGTTTTCTTCGAATTTCCGGATCCGTAATTTCGTTTCGGAGATCGTCGAACGTGTCAACCTCGGACATGTTACAGAACTTTCTAAACTCGATGTATCCGGGTATCGCGTGGTCTCGGGCGCGATGGATATTCATCGCCGCTAAATCCAAGGCGACCGCGTGTCCCGATTCAAACAGGCGCTCTGTCAATTCCGTGTTGAGGTTTTCGTGTGGCCTCTTTACCTTAGCGGGGGCGCTGAATAAACCTCTGAGCAGGGGATCGACACCGCCTTCGTCCACCAAACGCCACGGGGCGAAGAAAGCCTTGTGAAGCGGCAGGTGGCCTTCTTTGATCGGTTTGAAGGTATGATCTAGGCGCTCTAGAATTGGGTTAATTAGCGTGTGGCCGAATCTCAAAGCGGCCGTGGCAAACACGTTGGCAATTGAAGGATTCACTGTGGGGTTGTACTCTTTGTACTTGCCCAACATTTCCATACCTTTAGGGCCGACAATATGAGGAAGCCAGTATTCGTAGGTGATATGTTGCATCGCAGCTCCGACAATTTTCCTCGCTTCTTGGTAGAGTCTCTCACCGTCCCAGTGCGGATTATACTGTCGCAGCTGATCTGCGACTCTATTGTGCTCTCTAAACCAAACCGTGTGCATAACTAGCAAGCCTATTTGCTCGTTCGCGCGTATATCGCCCGCTAAAAAGCAATTGACGCTACTTTCAGTGAGATTCCGCCGGCAATCCATGCCTTGTATTCCGTCGTACGGTAGTAAGGGCTTTCGATTCTGGAAAATTGGACCTCGTCGCAAATGACCGTGATCGTTGGTGAGATCGCGCAGAGTGTTCGCCAGGTCTTCAGAGTAGCCGTAAACTTGCGAGGCGTCAATGTAGGAAGTGAGTTGATTAATTTGTTCTCGCGGTTGCAAGTAGTCGAAGAATACCGACGTCATTCCCGATCCGCAAATTGCGGACGTGCGGAAAAAATCGATGCAGCGTCGATTTTTCACGCGACGATCACCCGGAGGGATATCGATTGGATAACACGGTGCCGCGTAGTCGCACGAACGCTTGCAGTCGATACCGTCCCAACTTTGCGAACTGACGGAAGGTAGGGCGTGATCGAGATCGTGGTCCAAGAACTGGCCCCATTGCATTACCATGTGCGTGATGTGGATATCTTGCGTAATTTTTTCCGTGGAGAGAAGAGTCGAAGAAACCAAGCGGGAACTGGGTTTGGGGAAGCCGTAGTACTTTAGTTCTCGATTCCAGCCGATGGGGGTGCTGAACCCATTTTCGTATATCGGCTTGAGAATACGCCGAAATCCTGTGAGAGACGCTCCCCATGTTGGATTTTGAAGATTGTTACACGTACCGTCGATTGAGCGATATCGAGAGTGGAAGCACATATCTGTACAGTTGCGGAATGCTCTATGCGCCGTACATCCAGATAATTTAGCGATTAGCTGCAAGTGTTCAGGTGACAATATTTCCCGAATGCTCTATGCGCCGTACATCCAGATAATTTAGCGATTAGCTGCAAGTGTTCAGGTGACAATATTTCCCGATAGTTAAAGTCGACAGTGTGATTCAAGTACATTCCATTTTGTACGTGTTTCCTTATGTTGACCAAGGTGCGTTCGTAAACCTCGGCTGCGCGAGCGAGCTCACGCGCAGGCGCGTTCGGAAAACGGATAATTCTGAACAGTTCTTCTGAACTACGCGGTCCTCCGTAGTGATTAAACAACTTGTCTATTGTTCTGTTCACGGCTAAGTCAACTTCTTGGGTAGCTTCTGCGAATGCGATTTTAACCAACTTGTCTCCTACCCCAAGACCAGCTGGATGAATTTCTTCTTTAATTGTGACGTACCCGGATGCGCTAGCTCTTCCGTGTTCGTTAATGGCGATGCACTCGTAACGTCCAGCGTCTTCCAATGCGATACCAACTATGTACAAATTGCCTGTAACCGACGTACGGATGCGACCAGTCCTTGCCAACTCGCTCCCATCTTTCCGCCACTGCAAACCTGGTGTAGGTGTACCTTCCCCTTTACAAGGCAGTTCAATCGTGCTTCCTAAAATTGCTTGAATATCATACGGCTTGTAGATCAGGGTTGGAGGATTCTTCACAACAGTTTCGATAACAACATTCGCGCTGGCCTCTCTGTATCCCAATTCGTTTCTAGCTTCACAGACATATAAACCCGCATCCGAACCAATTGCATTTCTTATTTCAAGCACTGTACCATCGGATGATATAAATGTTCGCTCTGTCGGTCTCAATCGGTTATTGTTTCTAAACCACGAAATCTGGGGCACAGGGGTGCCAACCGCAACACACTCGATCTTTACATCTTGCCCAACTTGAATATTTAAACTCTCCGGATGTACCGTAAATACAGGCGGGACTGCAACACATATAAAACATCTGCAGAGTGAACTTGACGCTACTTACCATTGATGAGCACTTCTGCAGTTGCACTGATACGTCCGTGGATGTTGTCAGCTTCGCACCTGTAAATACCGTAGTCGTCGGACTGGACCGGTCGTATTATAAGAGTTCCCTCGCTGTTAATAAATTTTCTCGATGACAAAGAGAGAAGAATGCCGTTTTGTGACCAGGTAATCGTCGGAGTGGGGTCACCGGCCGCTTTACACTGCAACTCAATCTGCGTATCTCCAACGGATGTTGATACACTTTTAGGAGTTTCGATGAATTTTGGTCTACGTCCATCTGCGCATATTGTGAAATTAACACAAATCATTAACAACAGTGATACTTCTTATACAATATTCAATCGTAAATATGCAAAAACAAATATTCCTAATTCAATCATGTCTATCAACTTCAAAAAAATAGGTGGTGACAATACCTACTAGCATTTAGCTCCTTTTTTCCCTTCCTCAAATGCACAAAGAAGGTTTTTCGGATCGCTAACAGTAACGGCTGGATAAAAGCAAGTTCGATGCCATTGGACAGCGGCTTGCGCGATAAAATAAACACTAGATAATAAATTAGTATCAACACCCCTCAAAAATAACCATAAAAAACCTAGTTAATAAATTGGTCAAAACTCAACAACAGGGGGAACATTAGCTTATTATTCCTGTGCACTGCAATCGCGATCTTAAGAATTACTTTCGCGAAATTGATGCCGGTTTGCTTGGAGGCGATCTGTTTCCATATTTCTAAACCAAGCGATGTTTTCCAACGAGATAACTAAGTTATTTTCAATTTTTTCATTTGTAGATTGGGCCATAAAATGCGTAGTTGGACAATAGACTTTCTGATCGCGGAGCCGCATCTGGGGAAACCCCTCTCGAGAGGGTTGTCACACCCCCAAGCGCACCTATTGAGATAGCATGTGAATCAAAACGTTAAAAGCCCACTGTTACTAATGGATTATTCGGATCCCTGCGAATGTGATCACCGAATGTTAAAATATGACCGGGGTGGATATCCCTTCTTCGGGAGATATCGCTCCAGGACGAACTTAAAACGGCTGGTGTGAGTAGGGACGGGGGTCAATCCCCAATGGTCGGCGAGATTGGGCTGTGGTAGAATGAATGTAATGGTAGATCCAGGCGAAAGTTAGAGAAGGTCGGAAACCAAATACAAGAGAGAATGAGCGAATATACCTGAAAAAACACTGCAACTCTTCGTTGGGCTGGGGAAACGGGTGGATAAAGGTCGACTTATAGGTTATGGTTCAGGAGATGATTGCAAAGGTCGGCGAAGAAGACACACTAAGACCGTGAGCGGCCCTACAATGTGCCAAAAGTGCAAGGTCCATCAGGCCCTCTTTTTCCATTTCTCTTTCAACAAGTAGTACAGCATCAAAAATACTGACGGGACATCCTGTATATGATAATTATTTCAATTTATGAAGTAAATTTGGGGATTATTTACGAAACAAGAACATAGTTTCATTTAAATTTGTATTCAGTGTTAGTTTTTCCTTTAAAATTTGTTTGTAAATGCGTAATTCTTGTTTAAATATTATCACTTTGTAATAATTCAATTTAAATAAGGTGCTAGAAGTAAGAAACACCTGGTCAAATTTGCATGGAAGGTTCCATCTGGTCGTTTGCGACGAAATTTAATTAGCGCAGGTACTTTGGTGCCGATAACGAAGACACAAGTGTTTCGAAAAATTGCGCGTTTCACGTTGGAGAAGTGGGGACGTTGATTTTATGGAGGAAGTGGTGTTTCTTTAAATACGGAAGACAATAAGAAAACGAAACTGCTGTTTCGCGACGGTTGAAGAGCGTGTACATTTGTTTACGCTAAATTCTGACCTTCTCTTCATATCTCCTTCGCGTCTCGTTCCTTCACGCTTCCTGTTTCATTCTTGATATAACTTCAGCATCTTCTAATCCATATTTTTTATTGGTTTTCTCTTTCATGTTTGCTCAAGCTTTGCTTTACACCCTCTTCACTTCTCGTTCTCCTTTTGTTCTCTCTGCAGATTCGCTTCAATTTTCTTCATAGTTTATTGTTGCGTAAACAACGTGTTGTAGACGTTATTTCGCTCTTCGTCCTGGCGTTATTCCCGTACAATTACAGGGTCCGCTCTCCGCCTCTCCATCTGTTCTGGTTCATTGCTTCTTCGAGTGTGGCGCCAACTGCCCTCATTTCCCAGCCAAGCCGGTTCATCCATCGTTTCATTGGTCTACTGCGGGGGCGTTGACCATCGAAGTCGCATCTTCTTATCAATTGGCGCCACTCCCAAGTTAGTGCTCCTGACATCGACTTTCGTCAGGCCCAAACTCCATCAAAGTATGCGCATTCCCATCCAGCGAAGTGCGTGTCCGTGTTTCGCCAATGCAGGCCAGCACTCGGATCGGTAGAGAGCAACCGGCCGGACCACAGTCCTGTAGACTTTCGCCGTAAGTTGCACTTTCATTCGTCGATCACATAAGACGCTTGGCTTCGTCCATGCCGCTTTGATTCTGGGTCGAACGTTGTAGGGGATGTGGCCGTCACCGCTGATACTGGAGCCGAGATGTTTCGAGTTTGTTGACCTTCTTCAGGCTACCCCTATCGATGGAGATAGTTTCATTGTTCTGCGGCCCATACTCCATATATTCAGTCCGCTGTGTTGAGTCGTGAACCGAACTCAGCTAACTGTGTCTTCCACTGCTGGGTTTGTTGTTACAGTCTCGCGCGGTCTTCACAGGCGAGGAAGGCGCCATCAACATATAGAAGCGACCAGTTGGATATCCGCAGTGACGGAATCCCACAACCGGGATGAAAAGAAGCGGCGAAACGAAAGGGCGGAGCCTTGATGTACGCCAACGTTGATTGTGAATAGGCGCACGTTAGTAAGGGAAGTATTTCACCAGGGTTTAAAATGATCCCCCACTTTTTTTATGGAAATACACGTTGTGAGCCATCAGGGATGTGCAGTATTCCAGTACCTAATCAGAAACAAAGAAAATCTCGATAATGTCGATCGGTCTGTCTGTCTGCCTGTCGGTCTGTCTGTACTCCCATTTCCGACTAACAGTTTGAACCGATGTAAACCAAATTTGGTACACACATATTTTTAAAGGTACCCAAAAGAAAAAGCTGAAAAGCTTTTGGGGGAATCGCGCATGCGCAAGTGGGTCAAACTCTCATTTCCGCCTAAACGGCTCAACCGATTGGAACCAAATTTGGCACACATATTTTTACACATAAAATTTCAGAATCGCGTGTGCGCTGGTGGGCGGGTGGTATCCGTGCTAGCCACAACAAATTTTTATAAAGTAATTTGGCGCAGTGGACGTACTCTTATCGGACACCGTGAGATCCATAGGTCATGCCATTTACCGTTTATCGGTGCCATGTCAATTTTTGTTTCCAAATTACACCAGAACTTAATATATTATCAAAATGTTTATGTCCGCAACTAATTAACGGCAAAAAAGTGGCAAAATGCTAGTATAATTACCACCCATTTTTTTAAAGTTGTCCTAGGTTGATGAAACATAATTCTATCATGTAGGTACAGCTTTAACAGGGATAGAATGTATGAATCTCTTTTGGTCTTGCTTGAAATGGGTCATCATCCGGGACCAAGATATCGTAGAAGTACGTTTTTGGACAAATTTTATCCTGGTCAGCATATTTTTGCATATTTACGACTAATTTAACTTTAAATATGCAATTCTGGAATGCCTATGCTAAGACGTACACGTACCGTAAAAATTTAACTGCTGCTTGTTTTGTATAACAGGGTTCAACACTACCATTCTCGCCGGCCTAGATTTAGATTCGCCCTCGCTGGTTTTCACCATACATTCGTAATATCCCACATCAATATCTTGAGAATTCTCTATCATTAAACTGCCATCGGGCATGATGTGGTACCTATCGTCTGGCGGCAGCTCGACATGATTACGCATCCATATAACAGATTGATTGCCCTCGGCGCGACACGTAAATACAGCCGTTCCTCCCCATGATACGTGTACATCTTGGGGGTTTACTAAAATCTGGGGCGCACCTACGCCGCAGTTAAAGATAACGACTTTTACCAAGCGCATTACTCACTGCAATGAAAGTCCTTGATTTTCATCCCCTTCAAAGGCTTCCCGTACATCTCATGGGGATGCTGACAGCTGGCAGCAATGTGGATTTGTTTCTCTTTGATCATCCCCACCAGCCAAGCCAGTTGGCAATCACATACTAGCGCATTCGAATCTAGCCTTAAACGGGAAAGACGCGAGAGTCCCGAAAAGGAACCGCTCTGGATGTGCTGGATTTTATTATTGTATAAAAATCTACAAATATTAATTATAGCTTAATCGTTACAGTACGTCCACATACAGCCTCTCAAGTGTTGGCATATTCGAGAAGGTCCTCGGCTCGAAAGTTTCAATTTCATTATCGTGCAAATATCTGAAACAAGTTGGGCTAGGGTGATCGTTAACGTTTACCCCATACTTACAAATGTTCTAAATTTACCAATCCTTGAAATACATCCGCATCGATGTGCTTTATCCTATTTTTGTACAAGTATAAATGCCGAAGTTGGGCCAATCCCGTAAATATGCCATTCTGCAACTCGGTCAGCGCGTTATTGTTTAATAATATTGACTTGATGTGCTTATGATATTGGAATTGCTGCGGTTGAAGCTGCTTAATTTTGTTAAATCGAAGATCGCTGAAATACAAAAAATAAAAGTTATACAATGTCAATAAATTACCTATACTGACGCGTAGGTAGATAATATTATTAATTATTCGCTATATTGCATTTTATGGATTATTAGTGGATTGTTTCGAATTATTTTTATGGTTATTTTATTGTAATGTAATGTATATTTTTGTCGTAATATCACATTCAGTGCTTGCGACAGGTCAAATTACAGCATAAATAAGTAGTATACAATCAAAAGTACAAACAGACAAAGAAATTCATAAAAAACTAACAACTTCGCCAACTGTTAATGTTTTACAATTCCAAAATATCCTCAGAATAAATTATGAAGTTATAAAAAATAAATTAGGTGTCAAAAGTAATAAAACTAAATGTACATCTCTATAAATAAAACTATAAAATTTATTTAAATAAAATGCATTCTGGCCGATGACGTTTATGGAGTAAGATGGCGAAAGTGGATCAAATCATAATTAAAGAACTGAATTGCAACTGGCCCTACATTTATCATCATGGGATATTTTTAAGGTGGAGGGACGTTGATTTGTACTTATAATTTTATTGCAGTTCGCCGTTCCGTCTATCCATTACTCATCTCATATGAGCCACGGGTGAAAACGCTATGAAGTGGTACTTTATTCATTTTTCATCATAGTCCTTCTATTTCCTTCCTCATCCTGTCACTGAGCTAAGTGCATCGTGCCAATTTATCTCGCATAAATATTTTAATTTAATATGTACTTTGTTTAAACAAAATTTTATTCCAACGAACGGAAATATCTAACAGTTTAGATTTTAAATTAGCTAATGCATTGGATGTTACACAATTAGGAGAACCTTGAAATTTGACCGTGTGAATGAGGTTGGTGTAAAACAAAGGTAATTTATTTCGTAGGCAGGTAGGTATAATAAATCTAGGTAACTATTGAGTATCCTTCTCGAATACTTATCTTAAAGACTTCAGATCAATGGGACCTACAACAAAGTCGTCAATATTGTAGAATTTGTTGCTATTTATGCTTACAAAGATAAGTTTCATTTTATCATTTGGTGCATATTTAACATGAAAGACGCCTAAAATATCTCGAAATATAAGTATAATATCGTTAAATGAATTAAATTATTTAGATATTATTTATATATTTACATAAGTAGTCAACAAGCGGAATATGGCTTCATCAAAAACGTCAAAAAGTCGTCCGTTCGTCCAATAACTAAAGCTCTAATTTGAGACATGATTAATGGTAGGTTTAGACAGTGGGGGGGGGGTCATTTTTGCCCCAAAGCCCTTTACTAACGTGCAGACTCACTGGTAAATAACTGATAGCTGGAACACGTAAAGAGCTCAGAAGCAATACAAGACGATAGTGGAGAAGTATAAAAGGGCGAAGAACCGGCGAGAAGATATGAAAATAGGAACCTGAAACGTGAGGGGCGACAATCGTACGGTATGCAGATATTAGCCCTACAAGAAATCTACCCGTTTGGGATTAATAAGCATAGTCAATGTCTCCATGCCAACGGAAGATAAAGATATGGAGATGGTAGAATATTACGAGGCAGTCAATACCAAATATGATATAAAGCGAAGGTGGGAAGAAAAGAGATGTATTAAAACATCACAGGTGGAAGGAGTAAGCTCGGCGAATCGAATGAAAACGAGAAAAAAGTGTTGGCCCGGAAAACCAGATGAAAATGATGAATACGGTAAAAAAAAAAAAAGGAACCAAATAGACCATGTAATGATAGAGATCCATCCGAGGAGCTACAGGGGAGCAGATGCGACGCGACCAGAACACAGAAAGGAGAGGTGGAAGAGATACGACACATTAAAATTGTAATCAGAAATTAAGGGAGTACAAAACAGTCATCCACCCAATGGTGCTGTTGAAAGCAAAACATGGACAATGAATAATAATATATTTATCCAAAAGATCCTAAACGGATACCTATAGGACAAGTCAAAGGCCAAACAATATGATTATACATACAACTAACGGGCGATCAAAAATGAGTTGCTGTCGAGTCGCCTTTGGAAGTTCCAAGTTAAATACGATTTTCCATGTAAACAAAAATTTTAAAGGCAACTCGACAGCAACTCATTTTTGATCGCATAGTACAACAAAAATTAAGGTTCTAAATCAATATTAACATAAGACATAAATTCATTAACACTACAGAAACAATTTACAGTCAAAAATTTTTTGAGTGTTAAACTAAAACGCCTGAACGGTGAATGTCTAAAATTCAGCGGTAATTTGTTATATAAAACCGCACCAGTATAATAGGGATTCATTTTAAATAGTTCTAGTCCATGTTGCGTATACGACAATTCAATACCTCGTCTAGTATTATAGTTATGGTATGTATTTAAAGAGGGAAATTGGTTAATGTTGCATTTAACAAATTTCAACAGTTCAAATATATAGATACACGGAAAAGTTAACAAAGCGTTAGATATAAAAGTACTACGGCATGATGTGTCCCTACTTAAATTAAACTTTTCTGCATCACAAAGACTCGTTTGCTATGTATACTGTCACCCCAGAAAATGATACAGTAGTGCATGGTAGACTCAACATTGGAGTGGTAAAAATTTTTAGCTGCATTAACATTTGAAATATATGACAGACGTTTAAGAGCAAATTAGACGTTATTTTATTGCACACCATATCAACGTGCTCTCTCCAGCTTAGGGAACAATCAATGTTACAGCCTAGTAGTTTATACAATGTTTCTTGCCTAATGGATCTTTGTTGTACTCTAATCATAGTACTTGCAATATATTGCACTTTTTTAGGGTAGATTTGCATAAGTAGGATTTAATTAAATTAAAACAATTTCCCCTTAAACCTAACGTTAAACTTTATTTAATAAAATCTGGTGATCGAATAAGTCGAAAGCTTTTTTTAAATCAACAAACAGAGCTAACACGATGTTACCTTTATTCAAGTTTGTGTACACTTTATGAAGGAGGAGAAACTGGAAAGATGGGAATAGACCGAGAGCTTGGGTGAAAAATACCTCCTCATAAGCAGAGCTGTAAATATTTTTAGAAAAAGTGTATTTTCTTTATCTAGTTACTGAAAGTATCTAAGATACTTTTCTCTTGAGCCAAAAAGTATGTTTTAGATACTTTTGTAAAAAGTACTTTCTGCCAGTAAACTTGCTACCCTATTTCTATTTAACTGGCACTTTCCGTGCATTTACAAGTGGCAAGTTTACTGGCCGACAGTACTTTCCGCCAGTAAACTTGGCAAATGTAAATTAGGCTTTAGATACTTTAAAACTCTTAGACCTTCTTCGGCACCTGTAGAACGATTGTTTTCATTCGCCACTTTTATTGATTCTCCACGACGACATGCGCTAATTGACCAAAATTTTAAAGGTTCTTTTATGGTTTATGTTTAAGATAAATGTGAATGAGCTCCATCGTACATGCGTAATACAAGTACTTTGCGCGTCAAAGCGAGATGCAGCGAATGTGTTTAAAAGCGTCTTCCGCAATACTAAAAACGTTTATGCTAAAATACAGTTCGTTTGAGCCAAAAAACAACTACGACCTTATCACGAGGTTTTAGCGGAATATTCGGGAACTTCGGCGACGTCTGTTGGAAAAAAGAGTTTGCCAAAATCGTCTGCCGTGGCGGTTCCTTGTTTTTCCTTAAAAATAACTTTGTACCTATCGCGAGGTATACACGTTTTTCTCGCCATTTTCAAACGCCGTGCCGCTTCCGCATCATAGGGAGTTCAATGTAAAATTCATAACATGAGATTATTGGGTCCCCAAAAATTTTTTTTACGTCAATCAACCGTTATTAGTTTTCAATTTTTTTCATATAAAGACGGAAACTTAGAAAAATAAAACCCGTATCTTTTTCAATAATCTGCGATGCCATGGAATTTTCTAAAACAAAAAGATATCCAGTTATCAATTAGCAGCAGTTCGAAATGGATTTTATGATCGACTTGGTTACTGTCTTGCAGTTAATGGTCACTTATTCGAACATTTATTGTAAATTGTTATATTATAGGAAACCGCTTTTAGTAATTTGGCATTTCTTCATGTTGAATTCGCTGTTCTAAATATAATACTTTTCGTACTTCCGGGACTAAAGTAACAACTTCACTCCATTATGACAAGTACTGAAGTGTCACTTTTTGTCCCGCCGGGATTAAATTTGGACGAAAATCCCGGAAGGATGAAATACTAACAAGGCAATTTCAGTAGGTTGTTCCACATTTTGTATGCGGTACTACTTCTTAAACGCATCGTACTGCTGCTCATATAGTTTTTTGGATTTCGGTGGTATCAATTCTATACCTAGTTTGGCTGCTTTTTATCAATATCAAATACACCTTTGTCACCCACCGCACCAAAATTATGACACTAGCAATGACAGTTTCCAAATTATTTTTGTTACCATAGCATAGGGATTGTCATACCAACGCAACGTTCCTATGGTAACTTGTTAAGCAGCGATTTTTTGAAAGAACGCGTTCTCTAACTCCATACATATTAAGTGTTTCGGTTTCGGAAGTACGAAAAATATCGTATATACCTTGCGACTGAAGTAGTAGTCTTAATCCCTCAGGTAAAAAACTTTACCTTCGGGATTAATAGTACTATTTCCTTCCCGCGGTATATAATATACTATTTTGATAGAATTTTATTTGTTTTATAGCAGACATTTCATGGCATGACGGATATTGACGTAGTTTTTGTATTATAAAATTGCATGGCATCACAGATTATTGAAAAAGATTTATCACAGATTACTGGACAAGGTCCAATTTTCCTTCTTAATTATTCAAAAAATTGAAAACTAAACGGTTGATTGACGTAAAAAATTTTTTCCTACAAAAAACCTTAATACATTTTTTGCTCTAAAATAATTTGGGGAGCCAATAATCGCATGTTATGAATTTTAAATTGAAATCCCTATGATGCATTACACCACCCTGTCTGTATACATCATTAACATTGCAGAATCGCATATTTA